CGTGCCCGCAACCGCGGCGGCTACGTGCCCGCAACCGCGGCGGCTACGTGCCCGCACAAATTAGCAGGGATGTGGTCCTACCTAATCGATAGTTAGAAACCATGTGGCTGTTTTTAATATTAAAAAAATATTCCATTGTTCATACTTTGCCTACACTGGTACTGGTGTATTATTAAATTAATATAAATTATTATTATTTTCTCAATGGCGGCCACTAGGTTTGGGCCAGTGTCAGTTTTATAAGAATAATATAAAAAATTTGGCGATCGTCGCCAGTGTCAGTTTTCCATTATACGTTACCACGGGTTGGTGAAGCTGTCACTGTCAAGAGTAAACCCGAACCATCAACGAATTTAATAAATTAAATTGTTGTTTTTTTTTATGAAGAATTTGTAATTTTCTGTAATTGTTTCAGATTTATTTTGCATGCTCATGTAAAATAAAGCCGATTTTGTTTAATTTATTTTTTAAATGCATTTGTTGTCGAAATTGAAATAAAGTCAAAAATAGTAATAAGAAAACCAATCTTTCGATTTTCCTGCAGCTTCCATCCAACCTTCTTTTAATTTGGAATCCCTGAAAAAACTTAAAAATTAAAAATACTCAACGTTTAATTTACAAGTGTAAAGGAATTTAAGTATCTAAATTATCTAAAACAATAATACACATACATTTTTCTTCAAGCAACAGCAACATACAATTTGGCATGAAATTGAAACGGTTGTCCGAAATATGAATTGTGTTAAAGTTACTCAAAATAAAATGTTTAGTAATTATAATAATAATAAAATAAAACAAATTAATTTATCGTGAATGCTTTTCGCTTCGATATTTTAGGGACTTTCATTACAAAAGTAAGAAATCATAGTAAGAAATTCAAACATTTCAGTAAAAATTTATTGTCGATAAATCTCAGTCATCGTAAATGAACATCGCTTATATTTGATATTCGAGTTTAGAATTTGGAGACAAAAAGAAAACATTGAATAAATAAATAAATAACGCACACACTCAACATAGCCCCGCACTAGGGAAACCCTGTGTCGCGGGTCCATGGACACACACATAGACAACCACAAATTACACCCAAACTCACGAGAGAAATAATTGTAGGCCATAGAACTATTTCTCCCGGCCCGGGAATCGAACCTGGGACCTCTGCTTGGTAGTCCGGCATGGTAACCGTTCGGCCACGGAGGCAGTTCAATATGTATATAAATGAATAATAATAGAAATAGTAATTAAAAATGCAAATAGCCGGTGGAATGTTGTCTCACTGGTTTTAAAATTTTTGTTTTCACTCCAATTTTTACAATGTGTATCGCTACAATTTGGCATTTTCACGTTTTACGGGAGATCTTGTATGTACAACGATCGCCATATCACTGTGGCGATGTTTGTAGGCGTGTCACCTCGATATGATCATTTTGATCATATCGAGGCGACACGAACCACACCCCCATACCAAATCTCCCCTTTTTTTCTATATCTATGGGCAGTAGTATAATAAGCAAGATTATTGTAGTAACTATTTGTATAAAAATAATTCATGTATTTTTGTGTTGTATCAGGTTGGAGACTTCGGTTTAGCCCGTGAGTATGGATCTCCTCTGCGCCAGTACACTCCAATCGTAGTGACGCTATGGTATCGTGCACCAGAGCTGCTACTGTGTGGCAAGGAATACTCAACACCCATTGACATATGGAGCGTTGGTTGTATTTTTGCGGAGCTCATTACTATGAACCCCCTGTTCCCGGGCAAGAATGAAATGGATCAATTAAATCGGATATTTAAGGTTAGTTTTATTGTCCGATGGTCACTGTAACATTGATGTGATGTACTATAATATCATGCTTCATTAACAAATATTATTACACTTTGACAGGACTTGGGTACACCCTCAGAAGCAGTTTGGCCTGGCTACAGTGAACTGCCGGCAGTTCAGAAAATGACATTTGCTGAACATCCTTCGGGCGGGCTACGTCAACGAATTGGCAAAGACCTACTGTCTGAGCTTGGCCTGGATTTGTTAAACGCATTTCTCACCTACAACCCTGTTAAAAGGATAACGGCGGAGAGTGCTCTCGAGCATGCCTATTTCAAGGTGAGCTCCGTTATACCTGCAATAGCGTACCTGTATTATTACTGCTCTGACACCACACTCTAGTGTTAAAATAGGACGTTTGAATATATTACTCAATAATGAAACTCATTTATGAAAATATGTTCTTGATGTAGGAACAACCAGTGGCGATCGACCCTGCAATGTTTCCAACTTGGCCTGCAAAGTCGGAAGGCAACCGCCGCACGACGCACAGCCCGCGTCCACCGGCGGGAGGTGCTGCCTATGCGCAGTTCTCCCGTAGCGATTCCGACGAAGCCCTGGGTTTTCAACTTCATCGTTCAGTTAACGTGGCACCGGGCTTCTCTCTCAAATTCTAGCGGTAACGCAACCTTCGCAACCGGAGATCGAGGATAAACTCACCATAACGCCTACCTTTTAAATATGACCCATATCATTAACATTGTATGAAAGGTAATTAGAAAAGTTTATTCTTTATATCTGGTTGACGAGATTTAGAAACGATTTAACATTTTTGTTTTGTAATATCTCGGATATCCGAAACACAAATATATTCACTTCTGAAACACAAAATGTTTATAACGCAAAGTTGAATCGTTTCTAATTTTTAGATTATAGGTATATTTAAATAATCTTATCAAATCTGTTGTCATCATTATAATATTGGACTGCCCACTTTACTCCCACGTATGATTATATTGTTACTGAAATATATTGGATACAAATTTGTGATACAAAGTTATAAACGCATAACACATTAAACTTGACTTATAGTATAAGTGCTTTTAAATTCAAATATATTGTACTTATGAAATTAAGTAGATTTTGAAACTCTTGGATGTCGTGATCGAATTTAGATGTAGTGTATATATAAATATTGTAACAGAGTATTTTTTCACATATACGTAACTATCCATGCTGTTTCTTGTAAACAAGAATAATAATCAACCTTTTACTGATAACGACAAGTTAAGCATTCGTCGTTACATAATTTAAAACAGTACAAAACCTGTAAGATTTTGTTACGATTTATCCGTTCTTCGATTTATTTTTTAATTGTGTTTGCATGTAGGGTCTTCTGGTCAGTTCAGTTTACTACGTGTGTCACGTAATCATGCGTATTTGTGTTAAAATTATTTCATTTAAATACATCAGTCCAATGAACAATACATTTTCAATAAAAAATGCTGTTCAAGTGAAATCTAATTGTTAATATTATCTGAACATAGGTTGTTAAACCATATTATTGTAAATATGCAGTGTAAACTGTACCTCTTTAAAGGTAATTGTTTTGTAATAAGGTAGGATAGAATAGGGTATGGCTAGATTTAAAATGGTACAATATAGATATGTTTGACAGACTCAAGAATTTTATTTTCTTCACCTAAAGTTTTGTATATTCAGAGTCATGGAAAAGCATTTGGTGCACAATACTTGTAGGCTTAATAAGGTCATTTTATTTTGGTGTAGAGATTTACCGGCCAGCGTTGTTCATTCCCTGTGGTAGCGCCAGGAGAGAGTTAATAATGTCGGCGTTGCGCTTCCACGCTTTGAATTTGGTGTCAAAGAGTGTGTTGGTTTCTATTACCACTCGCGCCCCGTTCACTTCGTTGGTGTTGGCGCCTACTCCTTTTCGGTACACGTCGAACAAGGAGTGGATGTGACGGACGTACTAAAATTAACAACATCGATTGAAGTAATCAATAATAGAGTTGCATACGTACGTTGCCCGATTGAGTTAATTTTTTCCTACCTCTTTGGCCACCGGGCTATTAGCAGCGGGAAAATCTCCTTGCTTGTTGTTGAACTTAGAATACGTATCGTAGTTTCGGACGGAAACTTCCGATATAAGCACGAACGCCATCACGAGGTTTACCCAGAGACGCATTTCTCCTTTCCACATCCTATAATAATTGTTAAATGTACAAAATCACTATTTCATGTAGCACCGTTTGGATAACTAACAATAAATAAAAAGAAAATAACGCATGAAATAAAAGTAATGTAGTTTTTTATATTAAATAAAATTAGTCTTATTTAACACCCGGAAAATGCTGTATCTGTTTTAGGGTCGTATTCCAGAACTCTATTCAATACTCAAGTCAGGACTTGATTGAAGTCAGGACTTGAGTATTGCAGTGAGCACTGAAAATCATAGTCAAGTCCTTGCCATTAGGTTCGTATTTCCAGTGCTTGAAACCATACTCAAGTCTGCTCACATCCTGACTTTAGCATTGAGTAGAGTTCTAGAATACGACTCTTACGGTCGTATTCTAGAACTCTACTCAATGCTCAAGTCAGGATTGCACTGGAAACACAAGCAATGGAAATACGACCCTAATGGCAGGGACTTGCGTATGATTTTGAGTGCTTTAAACCATACTCAAATCCTGACGTGAGGATTGAGTAGAGTTCTAGAATACGACACTTAGTTTCCCATAAATTAGTTTTCGTATTACGACACTGCTATTGGGGGTGCGATAAAAAATGCTTGGTGTTTCAATTACTAAATAATTTTCATTGAAATCCAACCTCTTTTGCATTGTAAAATCTCTGCCGACATAATAAATGTGGCCTTATAATTATAAGTAAGTCATAAAATACTAGGCGTTTAGAAGGCGGTGAGCGAACTTTGTATTTCTGAATACTAAACAAACAATTTGACTAGTAGGCCTTTATTTAATAACTTCTTGATTTAATGACATTTGTAATTTGAAGGCTGGATGCATTTGGATGCCTTTCATAGTAATGATACGTCATTGATACGTATAGCGGCATGATTGTACGAATTTGCATCGTAATGAACAAAATAGAAAAATCCTCTTCATCCTAAACTAAAAATAATTGCACGCGTAAGTATTTCGAAAGATAATCGATATTTAATGACTATTGATGCAATGCTGTACCGAAATTAAAATGTAACACGATAAACTTGGTTTTGTATAACAATTTTGTCTCTGTGTTGAAACGCGTTATCAAAAACTAAATATAAATAAAACAAAATATTTACTTATTACCGTTTTAAAGAATTAATTTTTTTGAATAATTATTGTTATATTGTAACTTTTTTCTATTTTAACTAATAATAATTGCACTTACGTTTAACTTTTATTGATGTTTCAACTATTATCTTTCACTAGACCTAGTCTTTCACTTTATGACAAAAATGCGGCTGCAGTGCGTGCTGCGGTCGCTGTTGCCAATGAAGTAAAGACTGGAGTGACGGTGTACACTGGTTATCTCTAGAAAAAAGTGAGGTGGGCGGCTCATGGGTTAGGGTTGACGCAGGGCGGAGGGGTTACGTAGTGGTGCTGGCAGCCGTTTTCCCTGTGAATGCGATGGGGCGGAAGGCACTCGTGACACGTCTGCTCCAGACACCTTGCAACCCTTCGATACATAACTAGACAATGTGCGTACACTTTGGCGTTATTCTATTTGTAAAATATAAAGTTGTTATTTATAGGTTCTCATAAACAACGCATTTGCATTTTGGTAACTTTCGAGATATTGGCATCTAAAGATTTTTTCTTCGAAATATGTCAATAACGCTGATTTGACTTAACAATGAAACTAAATAGAATAAGATATAAAAAAATCTTTGCTGATTCCACTATGGCTAGCATGAAAGGGGCGACTTGCGCGAGTGCGACATAAAGCGCGAGATACTGCTATTCTCGCGTAGAGACCTCGTGCTTTTGCCCTACTGATAATATATTATCAAATTCAAATTCGCGAAAAATGACGATTACGTTGTTTATAATAAGGACGACAGTGTTATTCAACAAGGAAATCATTGTATAATATAATATAATTATATTATGTAATATAATTATTCAAGAAAGAAGGGGACGTTCTGTATTAACTGCAAATGTGACTATCCGTGACGTGTTTTGTATACCTACTATTGGTATTAACATTTTTGTACGTACGTAGAGAGAGAAAACGAAACTAACATGTTATATAATTATGTTCGTGTAATAATTAACATTTTTTTATTGGTACAGTACTTATGCAATTTAGGTACGTAAGTAATTTATCTGGTGATTCTATTTGCCAAGCTTTAAGCAGTACGATTTATTGAAATTTTAATTGTTTGCTGCAAGATCGAAACCATGTACGCAGTTCGTTCAGCTGTTGCTCCACTGCAGCTCGCGATGTTCCACCGGCACTAGTGTACTGTTCCACGCTTGCTTTCCATGAGAATACATTTTTGAGTTCTTCGTCATTACCAAATTCAGGACTGTAAAATGTGCGTCATTTCATTTAATTGCTGTAGTAAATATTAATCATAAATATATCATATCAAAACAAGAATTTACATAGTGACTTTTAGAAATAGTACAGATGGATGGAAAAGTTTAACACACTTTTTCGAGATATACGTACCAGATGGCTGTATATTCTTTATGTGGCAAAGTTTGCAAATCTACGCCTAAAACCTCTGCTCTCTTTAGTGCGGTTCCCACTAAATGGTGTGCTCGTCGAAAAGGCACCCCACGTCGAACTAACGCGAGCGCCAAGTCAGTTGCTAGCATGCCTGGGTCCAAGGAATTTAGCGCTCTTTTGGCATTTACCTAAAATTTCAATATAAGACTACTTAGGAATCTAATGTATTGCGACAAAAATCTTTACAAAATAATTGGTTTAAATTGACTCATTGCACGTGTACTGACCTCCATAGTACTAACACTTCCACCTATTATTTTAAGGCAATCCAACAACCTGTCGTATGATCTAAACAACAGCTCTTTGTCCGATTGCAGATCTTTGTTATATGTACTTGGCAACCCCTTCAACGTACAGCTAAATGAAAAACTGTCCCCAAGAAAAAGTCCAGCTGCGCCACGAACTAATTCCAAACCATCAGGGTTTCGTTTTTGTGGCATTAAACTAGAGCCAGTAGAAAATTGGTCCGAAAATTTTACAATACCAAATTCCTGTGAGCTGTAAATGATAAGGTCTTCTGCCAGACGGCTGAGGTGTATGCCACATAAAGATGCCCAATTTAGAAATTCCACTAATAAAGTAAATTAAATTTAATTAGTAAATTAAAGTAAATTGTTACTCGTCTTCTTGCTTAAGATTTCACGTAGATGTATTATATCGTCGGTGTTTTGTAGAAAAGGGCGAAAGCGTCATTTCGAAAAATTTGTCAGGCGGTATGTTTTAGGTTTTAACGACTATTTTTGAATATTTACGATCTGTTTCAATATACATATATATTTAATGAATATATTGTATATTAAATATATTTGCATGTATTTAATATACAATAAACAGGATGTAAATATTTTAAAACAGTCGTGAAACTCTGAAACATGCATTTAGTAGCAGTAGAGCTCCTGTGAAAGAGTTCGTCCAGCGTAGTACTGCCACTTTACCTTCTGTGCCGCCAAGCTGTAATGTCAGCATTACTGTGTTCCGGTTTTGAAGGGTAAAGGTGCTGGTGAAACTACAGGCACATGGGACTTGTCAACTTATCTCTCAGGGTGACAGGCGCAGAGGCTGTGCCCCTCAGATCTTTGTGCTCTGAGTGGCACTGCAACTACTGTTATGGAAAGGTGTGTAGCTTATCATCAAGCGCACGCGCGCACGATTTGTTCGTGCCGTCACTAGATATTATAAAAAAATGATCCCGTAAAAAATTTTTCGAAATGGCGCTTTCGCCCTTTCTACAAACCACTGACGATATAATAATTAGCGTAAGGCAAAAATATACCAATATGGTCCCTGCAACCAACACCAAACATAGAGTTAGGTGTAATGTCAGCGAAGTCAAGACTCTTGCCTAGTCTGCTTCGGTCTATAGCCAAAGCACAGCCAGCTAAGGCCCCGCTCCCCAGCGGACTTCTTGACAAGCGACTAGTCTGCTCGTCCAGTCTCAACACGTCATCACGAAGAAACCAGGCGTGACTGGTGAGAATAAAAATTCATTTCACAGTTGCTTCTGTTAGCAACTGTAAAATACCGGTAGGTATTAATACCTACCGGTATTTTACAGATTTGGTAATCTTTAAATTGCCAGTAGGTTGCTATAAATCAACCATTTTTTTCCACTTCTGATTAGGGTAGAAAAAAAGGACAATTGGCGAAGATTTCATTTAGTGACACTCGTCCATGGAAAGGTCTTACTGATTTTACTTAGGTAAGTAGGTATATGAATGATATTATTCGAAATCGAATTGATTCTCCGGGACATGTCGCTAGGGTTAGATTCGGTCCCACGATATCGCACAAGCGTACGCGTTTATTTAGTCCTACCATTCAATTAATTAAGGACAAAACGAGGTGCTTACGAACGAAGGTAGGTATGTGGTACATACACCATTATTAATAAATATTTGTTCGTTAACTTTAGATGTATATATAATGATTTGGACTTAAATAGCACTATAGAATGAATCGCAACGTAAGTTATGAAGTATTTAATCCACTCTTTGTTATTTATTTGCCTATAGTTACATCTTTGTATTTTAGGAGGACGAGTGTGATTTTTTGAAGCCGTGGTAGCCTAATTGGTTTTTACCTACCGCCTCTCAAGCAGAGGCTGAGGGTGCGAGTCCGGGCTCGTACCTCTGAGTTTCTTGGAATATGACATGTGCGATATTTAAATTCAAATTTAGCATGTGCTTTATGGCGAAGGAAAACATCGTCGAAGAAAGTTCCCAACCATCGGAAAACGTGTGAAGCGCCCAACCCGCATAGAGGACTATGGCCTAAACCCTACTTTTTTATATGTGCCGGAAACGTGAGCACGGACGAAAAACTGCGAGACAGAGGTGCCACCTGTAGGTTACGGAGTGGATCGCGCGCTTCCTCAGCTGGTGGACCTCGAAGTAGTCACGGGTGGGGAATAGAGGTGGGCGTTTAAACAACTTTTTAAGCGTTAAACTAAAAAGCGTATAAGTGAAAAGTGAAAAACGCTTTTACAAGCACGTTTTTTAAACGTACGTTTTAACGTTAAAAAAATAAGCAGTTTTTTTCCATTTCAACGGTTAACAACTACGAAAATTAAACAACTTATGTTTTTGAACGCTTTTAAACGCCAATGAACAAAATGTTAATATAATAATGTTATGTCCTAAATAAAAATATAACTCGTTTTTTTATAAAAAACTTATCCTAAAACCTTTAGTGGTATACTCTTGCGATTCGCTATCAAGACAACGTTGCAAGCTTTTTTAACATAAAAGGCTATGCGCTTAAACGTTTTGTAAACGATTTTGTTAGCTTCAGACTAAAAAGTGTTTAAAAAGCATTTTTTAAACATTTAAAAAAATAAGCAGTTTTTCGCATCTCTAGTGTGGAACAGTGGTGGTAGACGAGAGGGGAGACAGTGGTGGTGGTCGGACTCTCGGACTGCACGCACGCTATCTGGACTGTCCAGCGTTTCGCCTAGTGCCTAATATCGTCGTTAAAATTAAGTAGTTAAAATTAACGTTCAAGTTGTTATTCGATTTTAAAGGGATAAAAAAAACGATATGTGAAGATTCAGTTCTAAACTATGACGGATCCGACATAATGCATATAATTTTTTTTGTATTAGGCATTGACTTACAATTATAGTATTAGGTGTTCCTTTTCTTTAAGAAATAAGTAAATAAATCTTGCCTCAAGAGGAAATGGCTCCACAGAATAGGTTGAGCTCTTTGGAGATGCGTGTACCCCGGAGCAATGATGTCTATTTCAGATTCTGCTCGATTCAGCAACACCTAGGCATATTAAAACTTTAGTTATGACATTCGTCAATGGAGTAGGCTTTTGTTTAGTCTCATGGGTTGATACCTTGATACTAAATATGAGCAAGGTTGAATATGAACAAAATGATTTTCGACTTTCCATACAAATAGTCGTCTTTTGTGTGTCTCTGTATTGTATCCGATTAGCTGTATCAAATTCTTTTTGTAAATGGGAAATGATTTCTGTTGGGAAAGTTGTTTAGAAAATAACACTTCCTTTTCTATCGCCTATGAGAGTATCTATGGTATAGGTATAAGGTGTTTACCAGTATATCTTCCAGAAGTATATCCTTCAGTCTTGGGAGCCCCTGCAGCATCCACAACCTGGTATCGGTTGCGGATTGGTCGTTTCGGCTGCGACCCGTGTGTAGGCGTAGAGCCGCGTCGCCGATATGGTCATGTAACCGACGCTCTACTACGGAGTGGATGTCTTCTTCGGGATCGGATAATTTTCCTTTCGCTGATAACTCTACTTCTATATCTTTTTCTACCTAGGATTTTTATTGTAAAATTTAGTGTAATATGTTATTTCTAATAATGAAGAATAATAGAATGTAAATAGGATAAAGTAAAAAATATGCTTGCCTAGTTAATTCGTTTTTATAGCACGTATTTAATTTAAAAGTTTCATACTTTATTAAGTCCCTGTTGTATTTCTTCATTATCCTTCATTGCAAGGTAACCACTGCGGTGAAGCTCTTGAGCCCAGCAGCGGCTGCCCTGGATGTCTTCGCGATAGAGTCGCGAGTCGATTGGAAGCGAGTCGTTAAGGCGTCGTAAAACAGCGGAGGGCCCTTCCTCGAAACATCCTCCCCAGAGTTGGTAGCGGATTGCAGGTTCGTTCTTCCGTAAACAATAAGATCGAGGTAAAAGAAAATGTAATTGATTAATTGACTAAATTCATCCTAATAAAATCTTTGTGCGACGATTTAATTTTAAATATTTACTTACGTCTGATGAGAACATTATCTTTGTTCTAACAAAGCGAACTCGAGGAGTTTCGTGATAAATTGAGATTTTGGTAACAACTGCGTTATCTCGTTAGAGGCATATTATGTGAAAGGGTAGATGGGTCAGAAGAGATAATTAAGCATGTAGACATTTACTTTAGTTACCTATATACATATGCATTGTTAGGCAAAGAAAATAGTAATTTTATTATGATAAATATATTACGTGCTTTCCATTACAATTCCAATTAATAATGTAAAATTTTAAGAATATTATAAAACTATTAAATACAAAAGATACTCAGCGTTAGAGTCTGTCTAACGAAAGATGAGACCGGCTTTTTATTTCGAAAATGTATATGGCAACACTAATAATAATGTCAATGTCACTAGAACCTGAGTTGTTGATGTGTCAAAGTGAAAATTATTTCTGCGATTTTAGTGATTTCTAATTGAAAACATGACGAAAACATTGAAAAGCGACTTACGAAAGGTTCTTTTTACTATGATTAGTAAATTTGAAAAGAAACAAGTTGAAAGAGATGTAGTTTTCAAGGAAAAACAAGAGTGTTTACGTGCAATGTCTCAATGCATTGGTAAGTGTGACTTCGATATTTTGATACCTTTCATCTTGATTGCATTGCGCGTTATATAAGTACGATTTGTTTAATATTTATTATTTTGCAGGTAACATGGATGATACCAGTAATCCAGTTATAGAAACCATTCGAGCAACAATAAAAAAATTGAATGATCTGTTCCTTAAAGAATGTTTAAAGACACAAAATCAGTATCTTGACGAGATTTCTTCTATGACCGGTAAGTACCTATTTGAGTACCGTCGTTATTTATCAAAACACCTGTACCTAACCGACAAAATACAATGCAATATGCAGTGTTAATAGGGTTGGCAACGCAAAGCTAATTGTAGATGTCGTTGCGTACGGTTATTCTTAACAAAAACTCAAATATCTTTATTTTTTGTCATTATCATGACTAATTAATGGGTTAGAATCTTAGTAAATCATAAAAATGTTCACCTCAAATCGTTTAAATATCGTGTATCTTGTTTATCAAATAGATTTTTAAGGTTTTCACAAACATAACCTATAAAAATATGGCTTGATTGAATTTTCTATTAAAAAATATGCTAACACGTCCGTAATTAACTAACATAACCGTTTTATAAAGATTTTCACTTAATTTTATAAATTCACGGAGAAAAATATTTTTGAAGTGAATTTTCCATACATTTGACAAGTTATTTTGGAACAACCGTAAACAGCGACATTTTGACAGTTGCCAACCCCATTGTTTTACATTTTATTTCCAGACTGTCTCTTAAATATCCCTTTGTTTATTGTGAGGTCCTTTTAGGCGGCTCTTTTGCTGCTGAATATTGCAATACAAAGACATCCTTAGTAGTTGTTGTTTTCATAATAAAATTAAGATTATTTTGTTTATACATTATTTTTTACTTCATACCAGCGGAAACCTGATAATATCTTCTTGATTTGGTCTCTTTTTGTAACCCATTCTTTTATCTGTCATTGGTTTGTTCTTCTCGTCTCAAGAATTTTGAGTAATAAAAAAAATTACTCTTGTCAATGAATGTGTTATTTATAAACCCTACATTTTTACCTTACTAAAATTAATTGTATTTAAATATTTGTTTCAGATATCAGTGTTGGTACCCTTAAAAGAATTAAAACAGAGGGTCAAACAAATGAAGGCACGTGGAACACACCAGGCAAAAAGAGGCCACATAAGCCAACAGTGTCAGCTTTAGATTCTTTTGATATTGATACGATTAAAAACAAAATAAATGAGTTTTATATCGTAAAAAAACAAATTCCAACATTAAGGTCCCTTTTACGTGAATTAAGGGATAGTATTAATATTACTGGCTGTCATGAAACATTGCGTCGCATCCTAATATCAAATGGATTTGAATTTAAGAAAAACAAAGATGAACGTTCTATTCTTATTGAAAGATATGACATAGCAGCATGGAGACACCGGTTCTTGCGGACAATCACTACTAAACGTAGAGAAGGCAAAGAAATTGTATATATCTTGACGAAACTTATGTTCATCAAAACTATAAACCTAAAAAATCATGGCAGGGTCCATCCACAAGTGGTGCTGTCACTAATATCTCTTCGGGTAAGAGATATATTATTGTTCATGCTGGCTCAGAAAAAGGTTTCGTGCCAAATGCTCTTTTGGTGTTCAGCACAAAATCTAAAAATGCAGATTATCATCACGATATGAACTCTCAAAATTTTAATAAATGGATATCTGAGAAACTAATCCCTAATTTAAGTGAGCCCAGTGTTATTGTTATGGATAATGCTAGTTATCACTGTGTCCAAATCAATAAGGGCCCAACAACAAATACTAGAAAATTTGAAATCCAAGCATGGCTCTCTTCAAATGGTATTTCATATGAAGATTATCTATCAAGAGAAGAACTATTAGTTTTAGCAAAAGAGAATAAACAAGCACCGGTCTACCAAGTTGATGAACTTTTGAAGCAGCATGGGCATGAAGTGCTAAGACTACCGCTCTACCATTGCGATCTAAACGCTATAGAATTAGTATGGAGTTTGGCGAAACGCAAAGTTGCCAGTAAAAACATTGGTTTGTCTGCGGAGGATATGGCAAAATTAATAGAAGAATCTTTTAATAGTATAACACCAGAGGACTGGAAAAAAAATACAGACCATGTTATTCATGTTGAAGAGCAGTACAAAAAACGAGATGGAATAACTGCAGAAATGGAAGAGTTCATAATAAGAGTCAGAGATAATGATAGTGATAGTAATTCTGACTCTTCATTCGCAGTTGAATTTTTAGATTCAGATTTTGATTACAGTGATTAAACAAAATTAAATTGTATTTTTATTATCATGTTTTTTCTTGCTTTCACTCGGTGTTCTTTTTTCTCCATATGAGAAGCTACCATAAGTTAGCACTCTCAGGCGTGCTCTAAACTTGGATTGTTGACCATAAATAATATCTTGAACTGTTTCGTGCTTTAGAAGGTACCTTATGGTTCCATTACTATGTGGCAGTCGTGAGGTAAGTCAGATGCCTTTACACTGTTTGAAAAATCTGACGTAGGCACGACAAGTAACAAATATTATTATAATAAATAAAAGTATCAAAACTATATTTCCAACTATAACCTGAGTTGCCATATGATGATTTTTTGAATTTGCCGCCTTTTTCCAGTCTCATCTTTCGTTAGACCGACTCTAGCAGCAGTGTGGCTAACAGCATATAGGTACTTACTTCATATTATTATACTTAATGTATTATATTGCATTATAGTATTCATTTCATTATATTATTTGAGACACTGATTCAGGAATTCAGGTTCACAGTGGAGCAATATACATTTATTATTGTGTCTACTAGCTGGTTCTGTACCAATGATTTTTGTACCCATCAACAACTGGCAAATGCACAATCGAAACGCAGTAACCTCAACGTTTTGACAATGAATGTGTTGACAATTTGACATAGACAACTTGCTTGAAATCCAATACAGGTACAGGGCGATTCTGGTTGGTTTTCCATTTTTGAAAATTACTGATTGGGTAAGATAATTATAGGTGGTAGAAGAAAGTTTTATTTTGGTGTTTGTTTTTATAACAGGATTTAAAAATAAAAGCTAGTAACTCTTTAGTGTTTTAATATTTATTGTTGTCAACCATGCCGCCAGTTGTTGTGATGCATTATTAATGTTAATTCGTTTAACAGATAGTCCAGAATCATGATTGAGAGTGAAGATAATTCAACAAATGATAGAGAGTCGGCAGAAGGTAATTTTCCTCAGTATACTTTATTCGATATTACAATAGATCCCGGCTTAAAAGACAACGAAGGTAACGAATTTCCTAGGCCGTACACCAAAAATCAGATGCGTAAATGGCTGAAGAAAGTGAAGTGGGCAAATCGTAAAGCAGAAAAACGGGCACACGAGAAAGCGAGAGCTAAAGAGCGTAGGAGAGAAGCCCGCGAAGCTAACATAGATTTAGGACCCAACAGAAAAGCTCTAAAGAAAATGAAACTAGAAAAACCTAAGAGCACCACAGGTATAATCATAGATCTAAGTTTTGATAACCTAATGATAGAAAAGGACAGGTTCAAAGTAATAAAGCAGATCTTGAGATGTTACTCTATAAATAGAAGATCTGACAAACCTTTGAAGTTTCATATTACTAGTTTTGGAGAAAAGTCAAAAACTGATATATCTCGACATAATGGTTATGAACATTGGGATGTGAGTATACTTACAGTATATGTCATCAGTGTTAAAAAACATATTTATGTTCATTATGCTGGACAGTTCTTTTTATGTGTCTGCAAGCCATCAAAAATATTCAATTTTGTTTTCATGGTTATTGATAAATCCAAATTTGGGTATAAGAGTATCCATAGAATTAACAGAGTATGCATTGGTGTGCATGTATAATATAAATCCAAATCTTTTCACATATTTTGCTTTCATAATTTGGTTTGTGGGTTCCCTATTAGTATTTTCAAAAACTATAAATATATGAAAAAATGCATATATAAAGAAATCTAGGTTTGCTAAAGTTTTCTTAAAAGAACATTATCAATTTCAAAGTTGCTTAATGCAAATACACCAGTATTGTGAACTTTACCTTAAAGTAGAGGTGAGAAGGTATATGGGTTATGCAATTCAGTACTCTAATGTGTCTCTTATACAGTTGTTTATAATTAATAATGGTTTTTATATTTATTACATCATTGTACTGTTTTAGATAGAATACCATGATGCGGGGTATCTTGACATATTTCCCAAGGAAAAAATTGTGTATCTCAGTAGTGAGTCAGAAAACATTATTGAAAACTTTGATGAGGACACTTATTATGTCATTGGGGGATTAGTAGACCACAATAAACATAAGGTACGATATTTCTACTGCCTTTGTAAATAATGCATATTTTCTTTGTGATACTGTCTTTAAACCTTGTTAATAAATAGTATTATGTATTGAACATATATTTATTTATCTTTCAGGGTCTATGCCATAAAATAGCAGTTGAGCAAGGCATCAGACATGCCCAGTTACCATTACAGAAATATGTGAATATGAAAACTAGGAAAGTTCTAACTATTGACCATGGTTAGTTAAACAGTTCTGTTAAAGAAACAACTTCCAATTTGACATAGCTAAAATAAAAGTAATATAAAATAAATTATGTAATTAATTCTCACAAATAAGAGCAGAGTAGGTTTTCACAAAATTAATTATTGAACAGAATATGGTAGCCCAATGGATATAAACTAACATGTTTTTAAGACTGCACATTTGAACACTATGTGTATGAAGTAAGGTACAATTTTCGACAAAGAAGTTTACCACATTGTATGTATTTCAGGTACGCACTCCCACATTTGTTTCTTGTAACCTTGTTTCTTGTAATTTTGTTTTCCAGTTTTTGAAATAGTCCTGAGGGTGTGTGAAGGGCTGTCTTGGCAAGAGACTTTAATGAAAGTGTTACCAACCAGAAAAGGAGCCCATGTCTGTGATACAGTCAGTACTACAAGTTTGGATGTTTCATGTAACAGTGATGACAATTCTATGTAGACTTAATCAAATGTTACCAGTTTAACTATTATTTGTTGCTCATTTGGTACTAGGTACACAGATTATATATTGAAGAATATTTTGAAAATAAATAGCCAAGTTACAATATTTATTAATAGGCGCCTTGACGTCGAGTTGCGGACACCAGCCCGTTACACCAAGTACCAAGTAGTACAATATTTACATGTAAATAGCTTTTATTCTGCTAGTAACTTTTATTATCACATGAATTATTATTGTCACATCCATAAGAAGGTATTACGAATTTCCAAGAATGCGACCTAAAATATCTAAATATCATTACTGAGGATAGAACAAAATATTCCACTGCCTCGGATATCACACTTACCTTGACTATACTGTACACTATACTATGTATAATAATTTTTAATTATTTATTGACATTTATCACGTCTGTTTGAGTAAAATGATCACTGGTCTTCTTCAAATTTGGTGTGTAATGTAAAGAAAATGTATCATAATTAAAAATAGAGACATTAACTTTTCTTTATCAAATTCATCAAAGGTGTTGACTGTTAGCGAAGCTTCGAATTTTGTATTATTTCATAGCGTAGGTATTCATTATCAAAATTTTATAAAAATCAGGTGCGGTTTTTTGCGGTTTCTAAAGATATGAAAGAAATCGTATCAAATGACCTACCCCAGGAAAATACCCTTCTCAATGCAACGCGATAAGATAATATAGATGCGGTTGCATTTATCATATTTATCAATATTATTCACACTACACCATTACTGTATAATGATCTGACACATTAATTTCATAAATTTGTTAAAACAAACAGTCGTTTGATACTGAATATTCTTTGCCAACTCCTTTGAAAATGAGTACTTTCCAATGTTTGAGACGAGAACTAACACTTTGAAGGTGGAAGAAATGAATCGGCTCTAGAAACATTTTTACGACATTGTTATGAACTCTCGGAGGACAATTTACGTTTGATAATTAGTGATTAAAAAAAATTGCTAACAAAGTTTAACAGTCGATGGAGTCAAGCATCACGAAAGAAAGAAGCCTTTTTGAGTGATTGGTCAGATCAAGAGTTTTCTGTTGTTTCTGTAACTGACCTAAATTTTCCATAGTGCGGCGGCGGCAGTGAGCGCTGTCGCAATCGTCTACTAATGTACGATTTTAGTAGATGACGCTGTATGGGCTGCATTTACATCGCGAGTGCTGCTTTTGCGGCGCCGAGGCATGAAAAAACGCCGCCGCCGCACCGCACAGTGGGCCCAAATTGATAACTCTTGGACATAGGAATAACTTGTGGAGTATCAAGCTAATTTTTTTAATGTCCAAGAATTATCAATTTGGGCCCGTTGTGCGCCGCAGCGCCATGTGTAATCGGACTCATTCTCTCACCACGGTAACGTTGTCGCGGCAGTCGTGTACAGAATGACCTTTACACACTAAAGTACTATTGTAGTATAATTATTTTCACCTATTCGCTATCATCATAAATTACCACAATAATTAGGTACATATTTGTTTTTTTTGCATAATTTCGTTATAATATAAATTTCAAAAAATAATAAATTTATAACATTCCGCCACAAGTTAACTGTACGCACGTCAAGTAAGACGTCTACTACGTGAAGTCAATAATATTCTCGTACGTATATAGTTACCAATGTAAAACTAGTTAATTTGTTAATAAATAATTTATTTTAAAATACGCGGTATGTATCTACACCTAAACATTGCTTCATTAAGTAACGCTTTGAGGTTTGTTGTTTACTAACTTATGTGTCTATCTCAAGAAATTATATTTTCTTAAGAAACTTATGATTGGAGGTAGTATCACATCAGGGTTATTAAGATGTACGTGATGAGTACCAGGTACGAAATGCGCTTCAAATTTAGAATGATTATTCTCAATCAGTTCTCGCATTCCTACAGAGAACGAGTCTGACGCATATGGTGAATCTGTGGCTTTAAGGTATAGCGTCGGGCATTTCAACCTCAGTGCCAGAGCTTCTACGAACTTCTTGTCTTCCGGATTGAACAATACGTACTTCAGTCGGGGGTCCCGCGAGAAATAATACTTCTGCGGGTTCTTCGATGATTCCTTAGCTCCTCTTTGTAGAAGATAAGGGACCGTTTCTAAGTTCACACTTTTCTTCGTACCAAAATGCCATATTTTGATCATTTCGTCCCAGGTGTAAGCTGGTGGTTCCTCATGTAATCGATTCACCGCAATGTAATTTTTCTTGAAATATACTGAGTATTTTCCAACTACAGAGTCTAAATTATAATCGTCGTGTATAAGGTGATCCACCGCGATGTAAAAATCTGTGTCGTCAGGATAAACGCAAGAATAACGGAAGCCTGCAATGGACCCCATGGAGTGAGCCAAAATCGATACTTTGTCCCATTTGAAATATTCTTTCAGGTACAGTATGACTTGGGGATACTCCCAAGGATAGTAGTGTAATCCTGGAAACAGAAATATTAAAAATATTTAGAATTTTGAAATTACAATTACAGGCACAAGGAAAAATTTCTACGATATCTACCAGAGGGAATCCAAGACGATTTGCCGTGGCCGGGGAGATCAATTGCCAAGATGGGTCTGTTGTTGTTCATTTCATTGTAAAGCATCGGAATCAGCGGGTCCCAAGTACCCGCGTTGTCTTGCCATCCATGGAGCGCCAAAATCGGCCTTTCGGATCCAGTGCCCCATAGCTTTGCTGCTATATGGCCATATTCCACCGGTATTTGGATTTCTTTGACAGGGACCTTAAAATGTAGGTAAAATTACAATAAAAGCTCAGTTCAATGCATATTTAAATACAATAATATATCGGCAAATATATTTTAATATATGGAATATTTAACAAAAAATATTGGAATAAATTGCCATATATATATATACGAGTACTCTTTGACCGCCGTGGACGTTTTAAAGCGTCTTACATTAACTTGGCGGATACGTCATTGACTCCATAAAGCATCAATGAAACCCTTTAATTTTCAATTGAAATTAATTAATACATATTAAGATATTCCTTGTGTTATTTGTATGTTCTAGTTAAGTATGGATTCATAGTTGCATTTTATGTTCAGAAATTGAATTAATATAAGGCTTGAAGTATAGGGAACAAAACTAGTTTTTGTCAGTGGCGGTCAAAAGGTTAAATATAATAAAAATTTTGTATCTGAACCATTGACATAATCTGAACGTACTATTTCAATGGTTAGATGGTTTTACCTCGATGATGTCATGTCATAGTAGTCACTGAAACTTACGTCATTTCTGCTGAGGTTTCTTTTATGGTTGATTCCAAAAAGTCTGGGCTTTACTCGTTGGGCAGAGCACAATATTATTCGAGAAAATAAGCGTCTAGCCATCACGGTAATAACCTAGCTACAGTAATTCAAGTTCACATACAGGATTGAATCAAAGTCCAGACACGCCGAGTTCAATAACCAGTGTCATAGAAACGATAAACCTTTTTTTACACATTTATTTTAAAAGACTAAGTATTTTTATTTTTAAATTTATTATTTACTTTGGATTTTGAAACAGACCCTTGCGAATTATTATGCACGTTTCACTTGGAGCTTTAAATACGTAAAATTTGACTAGCATTTATTCGATGTTCCAACAGAAGTCGGTTTTGTTTGCGCGAATACTATATCAATAGCTATATTAAAATAAAGCGTGACGGACACGCATATGTATACCCTTATCCGCTGTACGTGACGTACTGAGCGAAAAGACGAGAATATCGTAGTGAGTCAAGGTTGCTTCGCCACAGAAAACAAATACGTTGTAGAGGCGCTCGTAATCAATGAATAATCATTTGTGAAAACCAAGATAAACTATGTAGATAGGTACTGAATTTCACACCAGAATTAGTAAAATTATTGACAAATTTTATTAAAAAACACCAATCAATTGCCTTTAAAATTGTGTAATCTATAAAACATCGACGTAATCTTGGTGTCGTTGTACCTACTTAATATTGTTATCTTGTCAGAGGTAAATATGATTGACATTTATTGTTACACATATCTATCTATTACGATGTAGAGAACAAAATCCATGTTAGATGTGGACTTTAGACTAGTGTTCTCTTTATGCACTTCGCATATTGATAACACTTCTTTATTCACTAAAACAAGCCTGATTGATTGACTGATTACCTTTTAATAAAAATATAAACACTAGTTAATTGTTCTCCAACATAGCACCTAAAAACTACCAGCATTACCCACTGTCGGTAGGTATAATTAAAAGACATTCACCGCGCTGTCAGAAGTTTGACAGATATAATTAGTACAAAGAGAAGTTTAAGCGGCAACACTGCACAAAAAAGCAGAACGTCAATGCCACCGACCTGACTTTCGCCTTACGCGGTTAGCTTGATGGACTGAATAAACAGGTTTCAAAAAAAGGACTACGTTTTAACTTTTTGAATTGATATATTATTCTCCACAATTTAAAATTCTGCGCTAAAATACACTTGACAATAGAAATAACTGAGTTTGTTCATTTCGTTGATTGCTACTTATATAAAATCTATAAGGTTTAAGAATAACTTTAAACAGCGACGAGCCAGTAAAGTTTTATTAAGTAGCAATCTAGGATTTTTCCAGTTGACAAAAATACTCGTACAATATTTTTTTACAACTATACGTAATCTATATTTTAAGGTAACTAAGTAACTAAACGTTTATGAAAATATCACAATGATGGGGATGTTTCTAAAATTTTTTTGGGCCTACATACAAAGTTAAAACTCAGTTTCAAATAATACCATCTATTGAGTATCATTACTCATTTCTTAATTACTTTAATTTTTTTTACGTGTTTTAAGTAAACAGTCTCAGCTCTCCTTACTGATCTGAGTATTTACATAACTTTTGAAATTGAATCAGTTAAGCTGTTAAAAAACTACGTTAAGTTTATAGTTTCTATGGGACCTTCATTAGGTACTGAAGAGAGATATTCAAAGTTGTCGATTCAATTCAGACATGTTGTGGGAGGTAAATGGGGATCGGAAAGACCTTGTCGCAATGCAGTTAGTAATGGGTAGGATTCACATCCGCAAGTACCGCGCCAATCATCCAAATCCAGGGCCCAGAGAGAAACTCCACGAAGTCCAGCTAAGACTACAGACGATGCCACTCGATGAACCTCTTCAGGCCGAAGGTAAGAAGACCATTGTTTATTATAAACAGCGAATGTGCCATCCAGAGTTTGTGTTTCTAACCATTCTTTGGATCGAAGACCCGTGCAAACCTGAATGCAAACATAATTTTAAATTGTAGGCCGGACGTCCACAGGTACTTTAACACACATGATGTCTATTGTGGATTAAAAATAATATGCACACCTAGAGATTGTAATGTCATCAAACAATATTAAGCTCAAATCTGTAGGTTTAGCAGATTTTTGGGTTTTAAATTGGACAACGGTGATAAATATTAACTGTTTGAGCGCACTCTTCGACCAGGAAATAGCAACATCTATAATTTTAATTTGTAATGAATTAAAAAGGATAAGCATATCTTTCAGTTAGTGCAAGATATATACCTGTACTAAGCGAAAACGTTAATCAGGATTACAAAGCACAATTACGCTGTGAGTGATAATGATAAAGGACTTTAAGAAAGGATATATATGTATTGTTTATCTTGAAAAGATAAGAATTTTATAGTTGATGGAACCGACATAATTAATATCAAAGTCACGCATTAAACAATGCAAAGTTCACATCGTGTAGCCACGAATAATGTCTTTTAATATTTATCATTGTCAACCCATTTATACGTCACACGCTGGCCTAGTACGGGTTGGGAACATCACACGTTTACCGAGGGTAGCGAACCTTCTTCGACGTGTAGGTTTCATCAAGATAAATGTAACGTGGTAAATTTCAAATTAAATTTCGCAAATAAATTCCTAAAAACTCACGAGGTGCGAGCCCGGATTCGAACCCAGCGCCTCCGTTTGAGGCGGTAGGTCAAACCATTAGGCTACCACGGCTTTTTTTAATACTTGATTTTGAAAATATTAGGTTCCTAGACATGAACATAGTGTATGGTAGCCGTCAAGTACCGAGAGAGGAGAGTTACTATATGTTGAAACAAACCTCATTATATGCTAGGAATCCAGGGAAATCAGTATATAAACCAGGTTGACCGGGGCCAGCAACAAGTGCCCCCACTGCTGCGTTTGAGGCACTGCGTAATGTATACGATCGCGCGTAAGCTGGCACGCCCATCACTAATTGCCTGGGAGGCATTACACTTGCCCAATACGTCAGAGTCGAGTTCTGCAAATATATTAATGTATATGTTTTCGGTCATTTACTCTTATGACTGATGATTCTGAAATAATGAAGATCATTGTGAAACTATTATTGCAATTTGTCCTCAATGTACCTATATCTGACATCTTACTTAGATGTCAAATTATGTAAATGCAAGAGACGATTACTTTCCTATTCATAAATGTATACAAAGTCAGTTTGATTACTTACGAAACTATTAATACCAGCTGCCTCAGGGGTTTCCAAAGGCACAAGATACGCCGTCCGTCCAGTTGTAGATGCGTAATAATCATTAGCAGCAATAGCGGTCCAATCTACTGCTGCCGTCAAAACGTTGAAATCGTACGCCACTTGAGCAATTTCAGGGGTCGCCGATACCACAGTAGAAAATTCTAGGTTATGGGCCCGGAGAGCCCCTGACAACTCTAACACCAGGGTACTGAAATTCTCTTTCTCTGATGTTTCGTGTTGTGTACATGAAATCTAGAACATGAAAATTTTAAGCTAGTATATTTTAGCCAGTTAGATTTATTTTAGAATTATTCAGTAAGTATAATAAATTTTACATAGGTTAATAACTTTCAATATTCTATTCATATATTAATTATTTTCTGGTCGACTTCGAATCGATATCTCGAAAGAACACTATGCCAACTTTATTTTTGGTCAGTTTCTGTTATTTTTGTAAACGGCCATATTTATTTACTAATATTATGCTCCCCGAAAAAACAAAATTTGAAGAAAAAAACCAAATTTTGTGAAAAAAAATAAAGAAATAATAAACGAAATAAAAACAGAGCATATCCAAAAATTAAGTTGGCGTAGGTTCATTGAAGGTATTGCTATCAGGTGTATGAGTCTGTTTTATCTGACATTTGAGATAGTCACAGTCACTACCGTTTTACATAAAATTACTATTTATTATTGATTGGTTCTGCCGCAACTTACTTGTTTGCATACTGGGTATTGCCAGCCGAGCTGTAAGCCGTCGAAGTTCCATCTTCTCAATACCTTCAGCGCAGAGTTGATGAACTCTTTTCTGTGCTCTTTATTGACAGCCATTCGATTCCATTTATCGTTTTCAGAGTCTTTCAGACCACCCACGCCAAGAATGACTTTCACACCCTTTACACGAAGTCCCGTTATTTTACCGTAGAAATCTGCCAACAACAATTTAATACATAACGTTATCTGTTATAGAAATAACATACAGTAAAAATAATATCATAATAAGACGCATTCACTCAAAATCCCGCACTAGAGAAAATCTGTGTCGCGGATGCCGTGGTCACACACATAGAACACCACAAATTACACCCAACCTTACGAGAGAAATAAATGTAGGCCATACAAATATTTCCCGGCCCGGGAATCACTCCCGGGACCTTTTTTATTTTTTATATTTATAATATCAAGTAACGGGACGAACAAGTCGTGCGCCTGATGGTAAAGTACACGCCTGTCCGTAACAGTTGTAGTTCCATTCAAGAGCATTAAATCGCAAAGGTCAAAGGCACTGTCACTGCGCCCGTCACCCTGAGATATAAGTTAACAAGTCCCATATGCCTGTAATTTCACCAGCACCCTTACCGTTCAAAACCGGAACACAGTCATGCTGACATTACTGCTTGATGGCAGAAATAGGTAAGGTGGCAGTATTTCCCCGGACGAACTCTTTCACAAGGAACTCTGCTGCTACTAAACCAACTACTGGACCTATGCGTGGCAGATCAGCATGGTAATCGTTCGGCCACGGAGACAGGTAACAGTAACATGTACACAATGAACTCACTGTAGCTGTTAGAATCACGCAAGTCATTACTTTACTCATAAATTAAAAGATGAATGAATTATTTGTTTCAGTCGCGTGGCTATTTACACCAGTTGCAATGATTATAATGAATCTTTAACTTTATATTTTAAAGAGTTACTAACCGTTGTCAACATCTAATTCTAGATTTCCAGGTACCAATTCGTAATTGAGATCATCTAGGTGTGCCCATGTGTATATTATGTGCGTACATAGTGTAGGATCCACTTGTTCTGGACCAAACTTGCCGTCGTCTCGCCTAAAAGGTAGAATAATTTTCATAGTTTTATTTTATCTAGATATTTTCGTGCAAATCCTCTTTCCTGTAGTAAATATTTTGACTTGAAACATTACAATGCATACCTATAATAAGCCCAATTTGTAAAGTAGCAAGCCAGAATTGGTTTGTCGTCCAACACCTCAAGTATTTCGTCACCAGCCGTTAGTCGTAAGTTAGCCTTATGCCTGCAGTGAGATTTTTCTGGCCAATCACAGTGGTTCTGTAATAGCGTAATTTTATTATCATACTTATATGTGGTTATATTTTGTTTTTAAGAAGTCAACATACTTTGTCACTAATTACACGTTTTTTAAGTACGATATGGTTTCTTCTTATTTTCCCGATATTACGCCACAAGTAATCGAGATGAGGGTAGCCGTCGATAGCGAAATAGGGCAGACAGATATGTCTGTTCTTAAAGCTGTCATCTGCCGCTGACTAGTCAACCCGCGACCATGAAGCGAGTAACCGTAATATCGGGAAAATAAAAAGAAACCATCGTGGTAAGAAACCTGTAATTAGTGATAATCGTTTAGTGAATAATTGCGAAAACCTTAAAACTTATAAACATACTTTGTTCCAGTGTAGTTGTTCGGGGCATTTAAGTTGCGTGTATTGCCCGTTGATACACAAATAATATTTTCTGCAGTCGTTATCGTCACCTCGGAAAGTCGCTTCACGGCAGGAAACACCTTCGTAGCTTGGTTTCTATAATATATCACAGAATCAATGAATTCGTCATTCCGTTCTTTTGTTTCATTAATTTGTATCGAATTAATACTAACGTCGCTCTCGCTGTCAGTGTGAGGTTGTATTTCGTGAGGTGTATCTTCCAGTTCCGTCTGTGGCTTTAATGGTAATTGGCCTGCTGATGATACTTCTTCTGTCCCTCCTACTTGGTCCACTGATGATGGTCCTTGAACTGTAAAATCACTTTGTGGATCAAACATACTACTTCTTGGTAAAGAATGTTTAATTATTTTGATACACAGGGTTGACGTTATCGACCCATAGAATTGAAAGGTAAACAATATTATACTTATGTGGGTAACATACTTTCTTCAAGTAGGCAAGCGGAAGGAGCCTCTTGTCCTCTAAGGACAAAGTTGATATTACGCAGCAGCGGTGACTTTCCACATCCACAATACTGTCCAGTGAAATCGTCCAAGTCTAGGGACCAGATCATCCCTCCACCTAAATCTAGCGCGCGAATATATTCAGCTTTGTGTCGAATCATGAAGTCGTCGTCGAATGAGACCCACTGGTCGTGCAAAGTGGCATAAGGACCCATACGGCCACCTGCATCACGTGCTACTTGCCAGCCCTGAGACCGGATGCGCTCGCAGATCTAATTTAGAGAACGCCACTTGTCAATTGAGGGGGAACATAGACAATATTTAAAAAAAATATTTGCAAGGACTGTCTTAATTTTGGTTTCTTACCTCATAGAAGGCCAAGAACCCTCTTGCCCTGGTTTCATCACCTGGCTCACCACCGGCGAATGTTGGCACGCCAAGGCCTGTGCCTGCATTCTCTATCATTGAGAACGACTGCCCGTAGAACGGCAAGCCCATTATCAACTTCTCGCGAGATGCTCCCTTTTTGAGCCAGTAGTGTACTGTAAAGTTCTGTCGATAAAAAAGAAAATTTTCAATTATTTAAACAGTTTTCGATTGCGCATATGACGCTATTATACACTTACGGCATTCAAGGTTTGGTCATTAGCGTCTTCTTGAACATACATTGGCGCAACATGACCTGTTTTCTTCTCCCATTGCCCGTGATAGTCGTACGTCATTAAAGATATCCAGTCCAAATTTTCTGACAGAGTTGGTACGTCATAACCTGCAAAAAACATATCCATGTATTGTATTATCCGTATGTATATAGTTTTTCCAAGTTTTATTTATACTTTGATAAGCGCGATCAAAATGACCCAAATTTAAAAGTTCTATGTTCAACATTAGCCACTTACCTGCGTCTATGACACGCTTGCTGGCCGAAACAGCAGCGGATAGTAGCAGACCACGACGACTAAACGCAGTACGCAGTTCTTTCACCAGACTCGTGAATCCTGCTTTGTCGGAACTGGGTCCTTTGTCGCAATCAGCCTGAACATATTGAATTTCGTCAAAACAGCAAGAATATTGACTGTATTCAATTAAAAACTTTATTACAATGTAATAATATGTAAAATACTTTTATGAAATCTCACCTGCCAGCACTTAGGATATTCCCAATCAAGGTCGAGCCCATCAAATCCGAATTGCTCGATGAAATCAAGTGCATGGACTATGAACTTTCTCCTAGCTGAAGCATTGTTCACAAGTCGTGAATACTTGTCGCCAGCAGAATCATTCCATCCACCCAGTCCTAAGACAACACGTACGCCATGTCTACGGAGACCTATCACTTTCTCGTAGAATTCTGAAATAAAATTATGTGAGCGACCGGAATCCGGGAACGACTTTAATTTAAATTTAAGAAATAATTTTATATTTTATTACGGGAGGTTCATCGATGTTGTTATACCACAATATAACCTTACTGTGTTCCACATCTAGCCATGTATCATGCGGTTTGATGACCAACTTATTACTGTCCAAGACTGCAAATGCATACACGATGTGAGTACATAGGGTTGGGTCGATATCGTCCGGCGTATATTTTCCAGAACCAGGTCTGTAAAATAAAAAAATAAAAATCCATTCCGTTTCCATTTTGAACACAATATTGATGTATGTAAATCACAGTGGTGAGTTACGTCCGTAATCAGTATTTAATAAATCTATAGTAACTACCTGTACCAAGCCCAATTCGTGTAGTAGCAAACAATCTTATATCTCTCTTCTTTGAATATTGGAGCTAGTGTTGTTAGTATCGGCGGTTTCTGAGTTTGTGGTTTTGTCGTCAATTTTGTAGCTTTTTGCGTCGTAGGTCTGTTCAAAATCACTTCGATGTCGTCGAGGTCCTCCTCTATTTGATTTGCTGGTTCTTTGATAGGGGATGTAGATTGTTCTACGGGGGACGGCTGGAGGGACTCATAGTCTATGCTTGGGTCTAATAAACCATTCTTGATTGTATTTATTAGTGGGTGTACACCTTGATCACATCTGGAATAAAGACGATCATTTTTCGGATTTAACGGAATAGGTTTTAGATAAAAGTTAAATGTGTTATTGTTGTAAGTAACATTATTATATATAAAACTACACTAACCACTTCTTTGTTATAAATATTACCTGTTTCGGAAGTCATCAAGATCCAAAGCCCAGACCATTCCTCCAGCAAGATTGAGCGACTTGATGAAGTTTACCTTCTTCTTGAGCATCTCTTGGTCATCGAACGAGACCCATTGATTATCCTTGTATGCGTACGGTCCCATGCGTCGGGTGGGATCTTGGACCAATTGCCAGCCTTGGTTTCTGATTCGTTCGCAAATCTGTACATGATATTAGAGATTACGTTTTTTATACTTAAGAAAGTTGCATTGAATAACTTGTTAGTTTGTTACCTCATAGTAAGCTAAAAAGCCCTTCGCTCTTGTGTATTCGCCTGCCTCACCACCAGATGCAGCGGGGATATTCAAACCGGAAAAATCCTTTCTCCTTTCTACTTCCATGGCGCTCTCCCATTGTGTTTCTAGAGTGAAAGTCTGTCCATAGAGAGGCATTCCCATAACAAGTTTTGAAGGCGGAGCGCCTTTTTGCATCCAGTAGTGAATTGTGTAATTCTGTAAAAATAAATAATAGTATAATAATAATGTGCCCGACTGCTACACCAATTACAATATATAATAATTATATAACGTAACAAAATTGAAGACATTTAACAGTTGTTAGCAGAATGTACCAAGAATGAAGGCCAATAACAACTATAGATTTCTCTGACATCAGTTTCTTTTAAGGGATTCTGTCTGAATCTTTATCAAAATATACGAAAATATGCGTGACGTGATATATCATCGTTAGTTGAGCCGTAAAACAAATGTCATTTTTACTGTAAGTTGTGTAACAAATATAATAAGGCTATAAAGCTATAATAGGACTGGCATGTTTTCAGGAACTAACTTCCTGAAATTAAATAAAGAATATAAAATTAACACCTTACATGCTAGTCTGATCTAGTTGGCTTGAGTTTTCGAAAAAAATTCTTTTATTAATACTTACAGCATTAAAGTAAGTAACATCATCTTCAGGGTGATAAAACAAAGGAGCGACATGTCCAGTTTTCTTGTCCCATTGTCCGTGGTAATCGTAAGTCATCACGGCGATCCAATCCAGGTGCCGAGCCAGTGTTGGTACGTCGTACCCTTCATCTATTACCATTTTGTTTGGAGATACAGCGGCAGAGAGCAATAGGCCTTTGGGCTTGAACACCGAAGATAGTTCTCGAACGAGATCTGAAAAACCGGTTTTGTCGGAATCGGGGCCCTTTGAGCAATCCACCTGTAAAAAGGCAATCTTTATAAATAGGTATACGGTCTTAACAGCAATCAAAAAAAAAAGTTATTGAAGTTAATTTTGTATTTACAGTACATCAAAATTATTCACGTTACCAACCTGCCAACACTTGGGATATTCCCAATCAAGATCCAAACCATCAAAATTATACTTTTCGATAAACTGCAGTGCGTGCGTAACGAATCTCTTTCGAGCAGCGGGATCATTGACGAGTTTTGAATATTTATTACCAGCTGAATCGTTCCATCCGCCAAGAGCGATGGAGACTTTGATGCCGTGGCGTTTATATTCTACTACTCGCTCGTAGAATCCTGTAACAAGTGCACCAAAATCAGCTCTTTACTTTTATGTAGGTACCATATGGCACAATACATACATACATGCCAAAGTTTCTTGACTTTGTCATACATCATAAAACCATATAAGTACGTCCCAGTTCGAGCACGTAGTATCTACTAATAAATGTTCTGTTCACTTACGGTTATCATAATCCGCCCAAGAGTCATGCGCTGTGATGAGGCCGTCGTTACTCAGAACAGCAAATCCGTACACAATGTGGGTGCAGAGTGTCGGGTCAATGTCTTCGGGTGTATATTTGCCGAGTCCAGGACGGTACCATGACCAATTTGTGTAATAGCATACTAGTTTATAGCGCGCTGAAGACAAAATTAATATGAAGAAATAAATTATGCAGTTGTATGGATTTTCACGACACTTATTAACGACAATTGTTTTGTTGACCTTTTGTATTCAAGAATTGTACTTACAATTAATAAGGGCAGGTTTATTGCCAACGTCTGAAGACGTTCCAGTAGATGGTTTTGTGTGAACTGGCTTTGATGGCACCGGCGGCGTGTCGTGATAGGTATGCTCAGGTTCTTTAGGCGGTTTCACTGGTATTTTGACAGGTTTAGCAGTTTCTTTCAACGGTCGTGGACTCGTTGCAGGAGCCGTAGGCTTGCAATTTGCGTTTTTAGGCCAATCGCAAATTTGTTTGTCCTGAAGAGCGCACCAATTCAATTAAACACTTAATTTATTTGTGAATGGCACTTTACTTGTCTTTACCATTACCTGATTCCAATGAAGACCAGCACTACAAGCGAACTCCTCAAATTTACCAAACAAACAATGTTGGTAACGTGTGCAGTCAGAAGGTAACATAGCGTATTCGCCATTCTGGCAGTAAACTATAAAAAACATTAACAATTCATATAAGTTGGAGATACAAATATAAGTACTTGTTTTAAAGGTTGTGAATACTAACTTATCTGCACAGAATTTTGTGGCTTGGAGGCATCAGTCAAAGCAGCTGATGCAATCTGTCGTCTGTCGTTACAGGAAGCCGGTGAAGGGAAGTCACATTGCGACCTGCCAGGATGCCATACGAGTCCAGGTGCGCAACTCTGAGCTATCATCATTCCGTTCACGCAAACAAAGAATTTTTCACATTTTGGATGCGGATAATAAGAACCTGTGGTGCAACGCTGAAACCATTTATTTTTGTTTTAGCATTTTAACACCTTGCGTTCGTAATAGGTAGCTTGCATCTATAAATCTTACCGTCGATGGCTTGTGAGGATCAACATCAATTATTGGTTTCTTCGTTGTCGTATATGTTGGTTTTCTGGTAGTTGTCGCTGACATGGGAGACTTATTAACATCGGGTTTTTCTATGACAAAGACGCTTGTGATTTGTGTGTTTTTCATTTTATGTTTTGGTGAATTTGGTTTGATGAAACTGAGTGGTGTGATTTTAAAACAGCACTACATCTTCCTGATTCTTACATGTTAAGTATTATGTTTACCATAGTTTACAACTTACTTTCACACATAGCAAACTCCGTCCAATCACAGCGATTAGTTCTTTTGTCCCAATGAAGTCCTGGAGGACACAGCTGTTTGCGCCAATTGCCGGAAACGCAGAGCAAATATGCGTCACATGTGCTCGCTGGAGCATGCATCTCGTTGCCTCCACATTCTCCGCCTTCTTTCGGCCAGTCTGATGACGAAACTGCTAAATTAATAAAAAAATATTATTTATTATTACACAACGTTTTCAAATACAATTTATTGAGATTTCAATTTTATACTTGTAGTTGGCGGTCTTGTCGGTCTCGGAGGTCGTGTTGGTTTAGGTGCTGAAGTCGTCGGTCTTGATGCTTGCTGGTCTAAAAATAACAATTTTGATTAGAGGTGTTCTATTAACGTTGATCGCTTTTTTATTATTACTTCAATTTGAGTTTATTGTGCCAATAAAACAATATTATATAAATATATACGCTTTCAGGAATTACCTTTACACTTGGCATATTTAGGCCAATCACAATGCTTATCCTTCTGGCTCCAGTGTAGACCGGGCGCACAATTTTGCTGTCTCCATACACGACCGTCGCAATGCAAATAAGAATTGCAATCGCGTGGTACTTCACGGTAGTCCTGTCCGTTACACGGTGTGCCTTCCAGGGTATCGTCTGCAAAACAAGACATGTCAAAAAAATGTCGGCACATGAACAATCCACTAACAAATAAAGAGGCAAATAAATGGACACAAGACGCGATATCCTTTAATTTTGTCATAGACTATTAAGTATATTTTTTAACATAAAAATTCTAAAAAGTCTAAAAAGGCACCATGGGCTGTGCATGAGGGGGTGCTGGTTTCTACACTTATATAATATGGTAGTGAATGTTGGGTTTGGCAGAAGAAACACGAAATTGGAATTAATGAAGTAGAAATGAGAGCTTTGAAAAGTATGGCTGGAGTGGCTGATGGATAAATTACGGAACAGTGAGATAAGAGAGCGTTGCGGCGTCGAAGAAGATGTAGTGATAAAGATAGAGAAAGAGATGCTTATATGGTTCGGACTTGTAGAGAGAATGAATGAAAGAAGATTTACGAAACAGATTTATAAGGCGAGTGTGAGCGGACAAGTTGGTAAGGGCCTATGGGGCCGACCAAGGCGAAATTACCATGACCAAATTGGGGCCATTCAAAACGGTACCCTTGTACTCTTGGCCTAGCCTTTCTTTAGGATGGCCTCAATTTGGTCATGGTAATTTCTCCTGTACGATAGCACTGACGCGTCTTGATGAGGCGACAGATGTGTGTCAGGACCGTAGCAAATGGAAGACTATTGTCTCTGTCTACCCCGATAGGAAAAAGGCGTGAAGTGTATATATAATAATAATATATGCAGCGACAAACCAATTTAGTAAAGTACAACAAATTTAGGTACCTGTGCCGACAGGTGCCTGTGTTGTCGGTTTTGATGTTGTTGAAGTAGTTGTTGTATTTGTAGTCGTCGTGGTCGTCCTGGTCGTCGTGTCTGGTCGAGGCGGTCGTGGTGTCATCGGGGCGAGTGTCGTAGTCGCTGTGCTTGCTTGGTTATTGGGCGATTCTACAAAGTGTGTACGTAATAAATACTTAACAAATGATTTATTATGTGAGGAAAATATCATGGCTTTGATGCGATTTTAAACACTTTTACGTAACTCTATATAATATGTTAAAATAGTATTTTATCACCAGTGATCGGAATTGAGGGAGTTAGTTTACTTAAAGTATGAACGTTTTCTTAGTATGGACATACCCATTTCGTCATCAATGCGTATAAAATTTACTGCTTTTACTGTTTATTTTCTAAACGTCCCAAAATATACACTGATTTCAACTTTCACGATTTTCACACATTATGTGATTTTAAATTCGGGGTGTAATCATGATAAAAACATATTTTATGTACCTCGACGTTACGGATGTATTGCAATGTTTATGGTCTCGAAGGGGCCGATGCTGGTGTCAACATCTTCTAGTCCAGTCTTTCTAACTACCCGCACTTGGTCTTCATTAGCTATTTGTGCACTAGTGTTGTCACTAGACCGACACACAACACTCACGAACGAATCAAGGAACACATCGCGGCTGTTAAGAACAGGTCAGTTCCACATTTATGTGGTCTGTGGTCAGTTCAATAAGTCTACAATAGCCGAGCATTTGCTGGAATAACCAAACCACTGGATTGAGCTAAGATCCTAAGATCCTTTCTTAGAACATCATTACTACAGTAGAATTGTACGTGAAGCTCTTGAAATTAAAAAAAACATCGTATCTTTGAACCCAGAAGACGATTTAAAGTTTTCATCGTCGTGTGGCATCCAGTCATCAGCAAATGTAAGCGACATCAAGTATCGCCCGTCGCCGGATATCGTGAGTGTTGTGTGTCGGTCTAGTGACAACCCTAATGCACAAATAAATAATAAAGACCAAGTGCGGGTAGTTAGAAAAAATCGCACGGATAGAAGATATTGACACCCGCCTCTTCAGTTATTTTGAGACCTTGGACGTTCCAATACGTCCGAAACATTAGAGTAAATAAAATACGGTTATATATACGATTTAAGTCCCGAATTCAAAATAAAATCATATTCCAAAATATAGGTTATTCCCATTGCCGTGTTAATTTTTTATTTGGCTAAAGTATTTAAATACGTAAGTATGTGCCTATAGAAACACAACTACAATATAATTTTTGAGACAATAATTTATAGGAAATATTTAAAAAGAAATAATAATTTGTCGTCAATGTACTCAAATTTCAATAAATAATACTCATATTTAAATATAATAAGTTCCGAGAAAACTCGGGAATATCCACATCATTTTTTACTTTAGTTAAATTAGCTTCCTTAATTAGAATAAATATTAAGACTTTAAAACTGTCTATTCACGTAACAATAAATACCATTGCAATTAGCGAAGTTGGGCCAGTCGCAGCGGTTAGAAGTCGCCGACCAGTGCAGGCCGGGGGCACAGCGGTGCTTGCGCCATTGTCCGCCCTCGCATTGCAAGTATCCCGAGCAGTCGCCCGGCGCGGCTCGGTGCTCACCCGCCCGGCAGGGCGTGCCTTCCAAATTGCCTGGGATAATAGTTATTTCTTATGCAAGGCTGCAAAGTTGTTGATTGACAAGCGTGCTGGTATTGAAACTGAGCAAGTGAAGGAAACTAAGATTGAATTGGTTCTTGAGCGTAGCGAGGGTTTCAAGCAACGACACGCAGAACAACTTTGCTGCCGAGCGAAACATATAACTTTTCACCTCACTATAGCGAGGAAAATGGTAGATGAAAGAAAAACAGTTGAACTATAACAAACAAAATTAATTGTCGTTGTCAATTTAATGTCAACAATAATAAGAATAAAATATACAAACCTTAGATAATGTACGCAAATAATGTAAAAACATAAATAATGTACGACAAATGGCGTAGTTGAACGTTACATTTTTTTTTTATCGAAAGAAAATGTTGAACAGTTGAACAGTCCATACGTAACGTAAGTTTGGTGTTTGCTGTATTTGTCGAATAGGCAGACAAGGCAAATACTTTCTCACATATGTCGTCTACACATGGCGATTGTTTATCAAATATATCATATACGCACATACGAACAGGCATGTGAAGAATAGGCACCATTAGATTTTGATTCTCAAACAATTTTAAAAATTATGAAAAAGTAATTCAGTTCCCGTCCTCACCACTGTTGGTAGGTGGTGGTCTAGAAGCAGGTGGTCTCGTCGTAGGGGCTTGGGTGGGTCGTCGAGTGGTCGTGGTTGTCATAGACGGGGTGGTGGCGGCTGAGGGCCACCAAGTTTGTGCGGTGGTGGAGGAACTAGGTTTCCAGCTTGGCCAGGTCGTAGAAGTGTCTTCGTGTTGCCCGTGGTGATGTTCGCTCGTCATTGATCCTGTGATTTTAGGTTTTATTATGAATTTGGGAGACCATTTACTGAAAAATGCAAATAAAATATATTATAAAGTATAATAATAATTTAATAATCCCCAATAAATACATACATCCTTAGATACAGGGTTAACAATAAGACTGTAATAAGTTGAGTTACTATTATATCCAAGTGCTTTCTTCTTCCTATTTTGTGGGTTTCGATATCATATATTTAGTAGTAACGCTATTTAAGAATTATTAACTTCCACTAAGATATTATCGGATGTCAGTAAGAACTTCATTCGATATTTATTTTTATTTATTATCAAGTACTGTGCATAAATTAATTATATACCTATTAAAAAGCAATTAATTACATATAAAAAAAAAATAGTTGAGCAGCTCACACGGCTTGAATTCACCTTTCCTAAACAAAATTCATGTCCTCTCTTTGTAAATGTATTTCTATGCCACTTTTAATTATTATACGTCGTGTTTCTTCTTTGAGCTGACACATCGTTGTTGGTGTACATTTTGTATTACACTTGCCCTCAAATAAATAATTGATCAATTCGCAAGATCTTGGCGACCAATTGTTCGTAGTTTTGTTAAAACTACCTTTAAAATAGCCTATATTGATTACTTCCACTAATCCACACGTGGATGTTACATTGGTTGATAATGTGTAACATAATGTGTATTTGTCAAGTTTAGGTTCAACTCACACTGGCGCAGAGTCGAAGCGTCACGACGCGTCATGTTTTTTGCCTATAGCATAGTCATCTCTATTTTCAAATTATTAAGGTACAAATTTGTGTTATGCAAATGAATCACGCGTCGATGCGCGACGACGCGCGACGTTTGGTTAAAGACGAGCGGTTTCGCGCGTCGCTGAGCGATCTTGCGCGCATTGACGCGGCAGACGCCGATCTTACACTGTGATCCGGGCGTGCTAATGCGAGTGTCGTCGCGCGTCGCCATGCGTTGTAGTTATGCGACGCGACGCCGACGCTATGACTCTGCGCCAGTGTGAGTTGAGCTTTATTGAAATTGGTTACCGGAAAGTGCGCGAAATCGGATTCATCCCCTAGTTTGCCACCCTTAGAGGCGGAATATTTTCTTGAATTTTAAATGTCTTTTAAATTTCATCATTAAAATCGGTTTACAAAGTTATCCGGAGTTAGTTAGCCGGAGTTATCGCGTAACATACATGCAAAAAAAACATCGAATTGGAAACCTGCTCCTTTTTTTGAAGACAGTTAAAAATTGAAATTGTTGTAATAGGTTTTAATGACATAAATTCATATTCTTTACATCGTCTCACGTAGTCAAATGCAAATAGATAAAAAGTTTCACAATACAGAAACAAGGAAACGTCATCATCAGTAAGTGTTTTTTGAAGACTTTTGGTCTTTTGGTGTCTACTTGCCTACTGTAACGCCTAAACATACCATCAGACTCAGCAGGAGTAGTAATTGGCGGCGCAGGAGTTACAGGTTCTGGCGGTCGTTCGCACGGCGATTTGGGCGGCGCGGGCACGGCTCGGCCTAACGCTCGGCCAGCCGCACGCAGCAATGGAGATGGTTCTGTGCAGCAGCGGTTGCTGAAGTCATCTAAGTCGATCGCCCATGCAGTCACTCCACCCAAACCTTGTCGAAGAGCCCATTCCACCTAAACAAAATAATCATAGCTTAGGTATGATGCGTACAACTTGGAAAGATAATTCTTGAAACAAAAGGATTTATTACTACCTAGACAAAACAACATCCTGATTAAATAACATTAATTTAAAATAATAGGGGAGAAGGAGGCACCTTAGAACATTGGCAGCTTAGAACAAATGCATTTACGCAGTCAGTTTTAATGAATAACTTACGCTATACCGACTTTAGGAACATTTCTATATAGTAGGCCATGCTGATGACATAACTACACTGATAACAGGAAACTATGCCAATATAATCTGCGACATTACAAAGACAGCACTCCAGATTGTGGAAAGATCGTGCAGAACATATGAACTATCGGTAAATCCAACAAAGACAGAACTAGTTGTATGTTTACAAATAAAAGACTACTGGACTAAACTACGTTATCAACCGAAGTCAAGTACCTGGGGGTAATACTGAACAACAAGTTGAACTGGAACAAGCACCTGGGGAAATTTAAAAAAAGCTACTATCACCTTCTGGCAGTGCCATACAATGGTAGGTAAACAATGGGGACTTTCACCCAAGGTAACACTATGGCTCTACACAGCGGTGATAAGAACCATGATCAGTTACGGCGCGATAGTATGGTGGCCACGAACCAATCTGACGACCGCAACCAACTAGCTGAACAAATTCCAAAGACTAGTTTGCATAGCGACGACAGGCTGCATGAGGACAACTCCAACTGCGGCCATCGAAGTGATGCTGGATCTGCGACACCTCCCACTGTTCATCAGACCGGAAGCGGCGTCAACAGCAGTGCGTCTAAATAGAGCAGGCCTTTGGAAGCACATGAGGACCCCACATACAGAAATCCATTACAAAACTATTAAAGAGGAACCGCTACTGGAGGCGGCTGTGGATAGGATCCCGAAACAATACATTTTTGACAAAAAATACAAGATACAATTGTTTGAACATCCCAACAAGGACTGAATCCCAGAGAGGTCCGCGTCTTCACTGATGGATCAAAAACAATTTCAGGAACAGGTACCAGTGGTCATGAACAACTATAACATACTTTGTACAAAGGTACAAAATCTTTTCATAATAACACATGAACCGTAAGGGTTCTTACGGTTTGTAGACAAGCGAGGGAATCGTCATGGTCCATACAATAAACACCTTTTTAATTTAGGTATCACGGACAGCCCTCTATGCAGGGCGTGCATGGAGGGGGAGGAAACGGCCGCGCACATCCTACTACAGTGCTCCGGCGTGGCCAGCTACAAGGCAAAGTACCTTGGAGTGCCGAGGTCGCTCCCCGAAATCTTTAGCAAATTGAGGAGGTTGCTGAGATTTCTGGAGGAGCTTGGGTGGTACGAGTAGGACCTTGCACCCACCATACGTAAAATAGGCGCTTTGTCGTCGAGTTGCGGACACCAGCCAAGTACCAAGTACCAAGTACGCTATACCGACGTACTTTTAGAGCATGTGAAAAATATTCTTGAATAGCGAAAGCTAAAAGACGTGATATATTTTTCAATATTAAATTCCGGTCAATAAATGATTTTTTCATAATATGTTTAATGAAAATAAAAATGTCAATATGTAAAAATATCACTAAGTAAGTACACAACGAATTATATAGAATTTGATAATATTTCCTAAGAGTGTTTTCTATAGATCTATGCACATACACGTACCCGGCACAAATTCGTTGTAAAAAACTTAAAGTTATGAGTATTAAGGTAAATGGCAAATAAGTATTTTTATTGAAAGGCTGTTGAACACGATTTATCAAATAGCATGAACTTTAACAAAGAGATGGATTTTAATCATACATACCAACAGAAAAGCCTTTTACCTTTTCCTTGATAGACTTTGGGTCATCATACCCGACCCACTGATTGTCAGAATAGGCATAAGGTCCAGCTTTATCCTGTCGGCCAGTTTTCCAACGTAGATTCTTGACTGTAAATAGAATTTTAGATATAAGTAATTTGTGGTGTCAATAGATTGAATACATGTAATATTGACATAAACACTTAATAATTTTGCATAAACGTCGCTACACACCTCTATAGCAAATTTCATAATAAGCCAGCATGCCCGGTTGCTTAGTAAACTCTCCTGGTTCACCAGGGCCGGCGGCAGGAGCGCCAGGGCCGCTTGGCCCTTCCACATCAGCCAGTCGAAACGATTGCCCATAGAAAGACAATCCCAGTAGCAATTTCTTAGGGTCTGCACCACCGCCAATTAGTGCTTTAATTGCGTATTCCTTTAAATGGAAAAATCTTGGTTGCATTAATTCCGCTTTTACGTTCTTCATATGACTTTACCTTCATTATACATCAAACCACACTATAAATATATATATATAAAATATAAATTTAATCAAAATATACACAAATTAGAGTAGTGGTGTAAATGACTATCTCTTAATTACAAGACACTTACAATAGAATAGTACGCCAGCGGATCATTAGAATTCGGTACTATTGGTGTATGGTGGGCTGTAGTTCTCTCCCAGCCGCCATGGTAGTCATACGTCATCGCACTGAGGAAATCCACTGACTTCGATAGGGAAGGCAGGTCGTAAGCAGCCTCTATAACCTCTTTGTAGCCCGAGACTGCAATACCGAGTTCCATATGCGCACCGTGGAGTGCTAATGATAGTTCCTGTGAATTTTTGAAATTCAGGAAGTGAATTTATTTCACTAAATATTTAGAATCTTCACGTAAAGTGAAATAATCTACAGTCGTAGGTAATTCATTATATCTCATACGACATTGCATAGGAAACAACAACGATGCCGTAAGTAACCGCTTTGGCAATCGTATGTCTTTTCTTAGTAAATATGTTGGTTGTATAATAATATTGTCCATCTGGCTTCTATATCTGAATAATAACATGCTTCTTCGTTACCATCACACAAGATGAAAGTTTTGCGCTGGCCTAGTTTACATTACCTTACATTTAATTTTAAATATTTTGCTTCGCTTTCATTTTAATGGTGTAGGCGCTGTTTTTAAAATATTAATTTAGAGATTAGATTAGAGATTTAGTTTAAAAAAAATTGGGTTTTTGAATTACACTCGGGACCACGGGATCCAAGTAGACAGAGGGGAAGGTGTTCTTTAAGTACCTGAACAAACGTGGCGTAATTTGCTTTATCAGATCTTGCTCCCTTTTTACAGTTGCTCTGCCAGCAAACTGGGTAATTCCAATCCAAATGAAGACCATCAAAATTGTGCATACGTAAGAATGGAATGAGTTTCTGGATAAACTTCGAACGAGCGCTGGATGAGGAGACGAGGCGAGAATATTTATCGCCGGCTGAGTCTGTCCACCCTCCCAAGCCGAGAAGAACGTTGACATCACTTAAGGATGTCACGCGTTCGTAGAGATCTGTGAAATTAGTGCCAAGATTCATTTAGAAAACAATACGGCGTCGGAATTATGTGGCAGTCTTGTTCTTTACTCTCCAACGGTCAAAATATAAGTACGTACAGAGTACTAAAAATGCCGACCACAAAAGTCATTAATTCCCTAGTTTGCCACCCTTAGAGGTGGAATATTTTCTTCAAATTTAAATGAAACGATTACTGAGGTACTCTCTATCTAACAAAAAATAATCATCAAAAGCGGTTCTCATATTCGCGGAGAATCGATTGGCTATTGAAATCAAAGTAAAAAAAAAATCAATTACACTTTTATGTGACATTTTACAAATTTACAATTCTTACTATTATTAATGTCCGCCCAAGGGTCAAACTCCTTGGCCACGAGGTTATCAGGAGTAAGGGAAGCATATGCATAGACCACATGTGTGCAGAGCCTGCTGTCGATATGCTCTGGCACAAACTTTCCGTCGCCACGCCGATAGAATGCCCAGCTGGTCATGTAGCACACCACTTTTTTGTTGTTTGCTTTTCCTATATAAATCAATAACATTTTAATGGACTGTTACAAGCAAAACGACTGCATGAAAATAATATTTGTTTAAAAACATAACAGTATGAGAATAAGCTTTATTCATAATTAGGTAGATTCTTCTACTTTGTACCCTTGAAATTACTTTAGACTGGAAACCTCCACACAAGAATTTTTGATGTGTTAGTGTTATTGAAGCAAGCAAAGAATCAAAAAGCTATACGTTACCGTCACTTTCTTCGCTGAAGATATTTGGGTCACTTTCTGTGCCAGTTTTAAGTATATTCTTCTCGTGTTCACTTTCTAAAATACTCCTTAATTGCCTATGCAAATGTAAATTACCTTGTGTTCTTAAGTCTGATTTAAAAGTTTGTGTGTGCTTTCGTACACGAATCTTATATTGTACTGGCTGTTGAGGGTGTGATTTTAGTAGAAATCTGGCTAGAAATTGCATTATAGCATAGCAGAAAGATGTTATATAGAAAGAGAAAGAAACGTAATACTAATATTTCTACGTGAACAAAATACCTTTCTTAGCATCAGTCTGATCTGCAGCCAACAGTCTTTGTGCGTCATTTGTTTTCTGTATTATATCTTTAATAGGATCATCTCCCCACTGAAAAAAAAAGATTAATGAAAATTTACTTCATCTAGATATAAACTTATTTTTTTTTATTAAGAATGTATTTTAGTTGAAATATACAACACACCTCAAAGTCAGTTTCATATTTTTCTGCTGAATATTTAGAAGCATCAGCTATACTTATTCTAAGGCTTTGACCTGGTAAACATTTTGCGACATCTTGATGTCTGTAACAAAACAATGACTCGATTTAAAGTATTAATAAATCAATGGGTCAATGTTGTTACGTCGGTCTTTCATGTTTTTACCCGCAATATCCAGTAGAGGGGTCGTACAGACGATTCTCTTCACAGACCAATTTGTAATTGATTCCACCATTACAGAAGTAAAAATGAGCACATGACTCCTCATCTGACGCTAAATAGGCACTATCCGAATCACATGAGCCAACCTTTAGTGATGATTGATCTGTTTGAATTGCTTCTCCTGAAAAGACGATCTATTTGTTACTGTTATTACCTAGTTAATTGTAACGTATTTAAAATTTATTTCTTGTTGCATATGACCGTGTATATATTTCACTAATTATTACCGTTAAGGCTGGTAGACATAGCACTTAGTATCGGGAACGGTGACCCACATAAGCCACGGAAGTCGTCCATATCCACAGCCCAAGCCGCCGCACCGGCTAGACCAGTATTCACCACGAATTTCATCTATCACACAAAAAATAAAACATTAATACATTAAACAATAATTAAATATAAAAACAATTAAGAGAGTGTTCTATAGAAAACAGGCTTATTTATTAATACCTTCTCGATAACATTCGAGGGAGAATCGTAAGTGACCCACTGGTTGTCGAACACAGCATATGAATTGCCAGACTCGTCTAACGCACTTGCTCCTTTGCTTTCACGTTCCATCATGCAGATCTGTAATAATAAATATTTTTATTCGGTCAAGATGCTCTTCATCTTTTCCTGCATTTGCATTGCTATTTTTTTTTCTTTACCTCGAAATAAGCGAGCAATCCTTTGGATTGGGTGTACTGTCCTTCATCGCCCCACCCGCTTATAGCAGCTCCAGGAGCAGGCAAAGTTGATGCAGCTAGAGTATAACTACGTCCGAACAAAGGCACACCCAAGACCAGCTTGTCAGGTGCCATGCCGTGGCGAATGATGTACTTTGCCATGAATTCCTGCGCAATGACATGATGCTTGTTAGTTTTTCGTTTTATGGTATGTACAAATGTATCTGCTTGAATACAAAAATAATTGTTATTGAAAAGAATTACAAAAATTGCACTTACAATGTTATCATATCGCTGATCTCTAGAAGACGCTCCAGGGTCTCTATGCAAAGCGCTGTGCTGCACTGCTCGTGATGGAGGTTCATCTCGTTTTCCATGAGTCATATCCCACGCCTGAAGGATCGCATAATCTGTCGCACCGCTGACTGCACTTAAGTCGTAGCCGTCTTCTATTTGGTATCTACAAATTATAATAAAATCATAAAACTATGTGGATGGGGATTGTGCGCTACATTGAAATAATTTGTTACTCTTACCTAAATGGCGGTAAAACGGTGGAAAGTAACAAACCGTAAGACGAAAACTTTTCTCGAAGCTCATACAAAAGTCTTGTCAGTAGCGCTTTTTCCCTGTCGTCTTTTTCGCCTAGAATATCAAATAAAATAATATTTTGTTAATTACTCTTCATTGTTCACTGACTGGTACTAAAATGTCCAGATTAATTTGTTTACCTGGATAAACCCAGTGCAAATCAAGGCCATCAAAATCATGTTCTCTTAAAAAGTTGACTGCACTCTCAATGAAGGAACTTCGTCTATTCGGTTCCTGTGCCATTTCGCTGAACAAACGAGCGGTGCCATCTCCGCCTACGCTGATCAGTACCTTTAGCCCGGGATGACGTCGTTTTAATCCTGTAGCTATTCGGTAACCGCCTGGGAAAAGGAAAATTAAACATTTAATATTATTATTAATTAGCATATGGGGACACAAGTGTTATATTGAAATGTGACAATGTGCTTTGTGCATTTCCTTTTAATGTGCAAACGACGGTTACTTCGCTTTACAACTTTTGGGCCCTTGGAAGTAATATTTGTTATATTGGAACTCTTACCGAAGTTTTAACAGATTTATAACACGAACCTTTGATAACGTCGTAATCTTCATTAGCGGGTAACACGGCGTATGTATGAGGATGTAAAACTGCGAAGGCGTAATGCAGATGCGTGCATGACTTGGGCACTAAGCCAGCGGTGAAGGCCAGAGGAGGCGCTCGGTACGCCGCCCAGGATTGTAAATAGCATACAACCATTCTACTAACTGCGGGGGCACTCGCTGTTTGTTGCATCTCTATAAAGCAAAATGAATTTTCAAGTACAGAAAAGAACTTTAACGACCATAGAATATAACACGCTATGTTAATTTACCTTGAAGATTTGCATTGCCTTGTTGCAATCTTTCGTCATTTTTGGAGATGCTATAATGTGAAAGGATTTGCATTATTAATATTGTAGTTACTGTAGTAACTATTATGTAGGCTAAATTAAGACATACTTATTCAAGTAACTGGCGGCACCATAGTAAAGTCTGACATTCCCATAATGGTCGTTATCTGGAATTGACTCTGCATCCTAAAACAATTTTGTTAGAACGTTTTTTAAAACAGATTTCTTTAATGAATAGCATATTATTCGAATAATTTTCTTACTTCTGCTGATTTGTATTTATATAATAAATCTGTGTAGGTGTCTTCATCTAGCACTGATATCGGTCTCTTTTCCACTGCATCTCGTAATGGCAATCTCCCCTCGCCTTCAGCTCGAAGACTCCTAAGAAATCAAATCTTGGTTTATGCGAATTGTATGTATGTACATTTTCAATAGTTTAAAAGAAATCCATATTTTTTTATTGACTTCATCTTTACAAACGTATGCCTTGAGTGGCAAATTATTTGCTTTAGAACAATCGAACATAAATTTGTTGTCCGTCATGAGCTATTGTGGGAAAGAAGTTTGGCATAGAATTTAAGTCGATACTTGGAAAGTACCTCTACAAACATAGTTCGATTCATTGTATGATACAAATTTTCTTTACCTGAAGGGAACACTTTCAACCGAAGATCTGATAGGAGGCGCAAGCGGTTTGTGTTCTGGTGCAGTCTCAACGGTGCTGCGTATAAAAGCATTGATGTCCGAACGTGGTGACGCTATTGCGCTTACGCATAACACCAACGCATATGCGCACTGAAATGTCGTTATCGTGTTTTAGTAACACAAACTAAATTAAAACTTAAACTATTAATTATAAATAGTCAGTAAAACTTATGCCGTGGTATGAAACAAACGACTATGTAAAAATCATTAATAAAAATGAAAGTAGGTAAATTTATTTGCTACTCAGCAAATATTTTACTTCCATTTTTATTAATATGGATTTCCGCAAAATAACGCCTGAATCTATTAATTATTTGGAAAATAATTAGACGATACACTTTAAAAATTTCACAATCAATATCAGTTATGTGGGGTATGTGGTCATGCTTCGAAAAACGTGTTCACAAGAGAATTTAATTGGTAATTACTCGTGTGTCTTTGTGTTTGACTTGATTGTTACGATCGCGTCGCGGATAGATATCATTTTTTAAACAAAGGCTCTAAGGCTGTTGAACCTTGGTAAAAAACTTGTATGCGTTAGTCAACAATGCAAATACGTATCAATTACTTGAGGACATACGAGGTAAAGTCGAAGGACCGTTAGAGGATACAAAAGACCGTGCAAAAAATCGGTTCGTCTTAATGGTTAGTAAGCTATTTAATAAGATGATAGTGTTAAATTTGTATTATCACTAGTTGCAAGTACGAGTGTAGGCGTCGGGTCGATGAACTTATCGATCAGGTATCGCACTCCATCTTTGCGTAATTTACATAACTTGACAGAGTGAAGATCAACACTTAAGACTGGTTCACGAAAGCTCATGTTTTCTTAGTAAAATGTTATCTTGGTTACGTGTGAGAGTTTACACTATATTTAGGTTCTGTATATACTAAACAATCCAAGTTTGGAATTTTTAAAGACTTTTTAAAGAGTTAGTAACTTTTAGTTTTTTACTAGTTCTAGTTAGCAACGTAGTGTTTCTTTTTATTGAATGACACTTAATACTGTCTAATTTCATGTGGTTCTTTATTCCGATTCTAAAACGAATGATAAATGTTGATATGGAATGAATTTATAGCAGAACGGGGAAAAAAACCACTTCTTAATTTTTATAGATAAAATGTGATCTCATAAATTATTTCCTAAATGTTCATCAGTACATTGACTTTTGTCGTTCGGAAAATAACACGATTTGCATACAGGCAGAGGCAGGCTTCAGAGGCAGGTAGTAGCGTGGGGTCATCGTCATCATCACCGACCAGTCTAAGGTATGTATTTCTCGCGATATTTCGCCAACGGATCCTAATTCAATCTTTTATTTTTACACTTTTGAGGACTCGTTTTTAAATATGAAAAGCAGGTACAACCTTCCCAAGTTCAAAGTTATCTGTCCACACCTTATGTCATAACAAAGAGAACACATTAAATTTTCAAATTTAACATGATTTTAACACATTTCGACTGTGACCTGGCAACTGGTACTATGTCAATTTTGCCAATTTTACAGAATGAAGAAAAGAATTGTTTGCGTCATTTATATAGATATCTGGTTACAAGTTACTACAAGTTGAATGAAGTCGATTCTGGCGCCAAAATTAAAAGTATCTGAGATGGAATTTCTTGCAACGCTGCGGAGTATGAAATAAATGGCATTAAAAAGTGAAATCTTTACAAAATTGAGATAGTACCGGTTACCAGTTCACAGTCGATCTATCAACATTAAAAAAAATTTAATATCTACTCATAATATGTTTTGAAGTAATTGCGTTAGATTTAGTTTTTACAAGATCGTTATTTATTACAGTAGGATCAACGGATTGCAGCTCAGGACCTTCAGAAGGCCAAGGGTAGCGACGCTTTAGACGTCTTACATTTGCGTGCATAACGCGCATTACACACGACTGAGTAATGCAGTACAAAGATAGCAGTACTGACCGCTTTATTTGGTTTATTAGCGTAAAACTTCAACAAAAGGACGTACGGTACCGTTAAGTAGAACTTGTTAGCGGTGCCTATTATTCTGATCGATTAACCTCAAATTTCATGCGCTTAATTTTAACTAGAGAGCGTGTAACATACACGCGGTGCACCTACTTCGTATTATTCGTTAAAAAAAATACAAGAAAAGCCTTTATATGTACAAAACAGAATACAAATAATATGACACATTGAAACCAATATCGTCACTAAAAAGCCCCTTTTTTCCAAAATTATGCTTATTTTCAGTAAACATTTACAAGTTTATAGTTTATTTGTAAATAGTCAAAGTTGACTTTTCGTTTAGTGATGTTATTGCTTTCACTGTGCGATATGTACTGTAAGCTCATAACAGTTCCAGTCGTTCTTATGTTGTTTTGTTCTTTAAACTCTTAATAATTCTAGCAGCCTATAATGCCTCGGGTGCACATGTTTATCATTCAAAACAATATCATATAATGTCATTATGAGACAGTCGCCAAGTCCCATGACCCTGTAATTTCACCAGCACCCTTACCCTTCATTCAAAACAAATTAATGACATATATGGTAAGTAAATAGGTCTTCGTGCCGCACATATTAATATTCGTTTTCTTTCCAGTTCAACTGTTTTCGGGCACGTTAATACTATTGAAATTAATGAACACCAATCAAAACACGGTTAAATAATATATCAATTGACACGTATTCAAAGACATTAAACGATTTGACTATTAAACTATTTAATTATAATAATCTTTTGAAAACCACATGATCTAAATTGTGAACTATAATAAACGATTTATTTTTGGTAACCATCTTAAAATAATATAAGTAGCTAACCACCATCATCATCATATGTTGATGATTAGCTATATTATTTTAAGAGGGTTATAGCTAAGTTATGCTTATAGCAAACAATACTTTGAAAATATTTTGCTTTTTCTAAAAAACCGAATTTAAAAAAGAGAAAAACTTACCTGAAGCAAAATTTTGTGCCCCATAACGGGGAGCTTTCTTTTTCACAACTGCTTTCAATTTATCTGTAAATGATGGAGATATATTTTAGCATCTCATTTTCCAATTTCAAAATGTTAACGTTCCCCATACAAAAGCGAATTATTTTCTTTATTTCTGACGTTCAACATTTAAAAATTTAATAAACTATATATCAAGTACTTATAATTTATAACTGCGATGTGATTTATTACTGCGTTTAATGCCGGTAGCTGGACCTCAGTATTACAGGAAAGGAGGGGCTGCGCGTATGTCGTTTGTCGTGAGACTAGCGTGTGGCTTGCGCGTCTCCTAGTGTTAAATACTCGGAGTCATCGCTCGTCTCGCCCACACATTTAATATATTATGTATCCATGGAGTTTGGGGATGTGTATAATTGTTTACCCCTCTATGCAAGAGTTTTTCGGAAAGATTATTTGCAGAATTCAAATATGCATTGTAATGCCTATACAAAGATTTGTTACTTTGATAAATATTTTTCCTTTTCTTTTGTGAAAAATTTTTGCTTGTTTTTTTGTTACGTAATTTGGTTTTCTTTTATTTTACTGATAAAAAAGTTCTTATGTACTTAAAAATTGTGTCTAATTTGGGGCTGTCGGCGCAAAAGTGGTGTAACCCACATTTAATTTTTTCTACAATATTACTTTAAATTATACTAAAGTATATAACTATTTAATAGTTGGATGTCATTTTCATGTTTGTTAAAAATTTTATAATTGAATATTTTCATTATATGTATATGTTATTATAAATATTTATATTTATATAATAATTTTTACACATGAAAATAACATCAAAATATTAAAAAAATTAGGTACTATTAGTACCATTTAAAGTAATGTTGAAGAAAACAAACTAAATGTGGGTTACACCATTTTTAAGCTGATAGCCTCATTTATTCTATGAAGCCGCATTAACGGTAGGGATTTGTATAGTTGGTAATCTGTTCTTATTAAGCGACTTAAAAAAATGGAGGATGTTCTCAATTTGACTGTATGTTTTTGTGGGACGCGATGCCTCCGGCATTTGTAAGCCGATTTTGATGATATTTTTTTACTAGAAAAAAAAGGGGGTACCTCAGTAATGGTACCATTTAAATTTGAAGAAAATATTCCAAGTGGCAAACTAGGGGATGAATCAGCGTACTTTCCGGTAACGGATTGTTAACTTTTTAGTTTCAATTTGTATGTCATTTAAGCAAAGTTTGAAGTCGGTTCCTTTTTTTTTTAATAAAAATCGCTTTATAAAACTTTTGAAGTTGGTATTTCATATGCACAATTCCAGTTCAATTTCGAAAGATAACAAATTTGTACGAATATAGCATTAACGATCGAGTCAATGACTCTGTTATTAAGAATTATATCGTTCACTCTATGATCAATTTCTAGAAGAACAGGTTTATAAATCGAAATTATTTTACTAACATCTCATATCCATAAAACAAGAACAATAACTCACTTTTATCTCATATTTTTCTTATTGCATCTACGGAGTTCACTTATTAAAATGTAAATAAAGATTGAAAATGGAATGTCACATACAATCTAAAACAAAAACTTTGAAAACCACCTCGTCACTTTTGTAGCGCCACATTGAATGAAGCCGCAATGTAAGTCACTGAGTATGCTGCTAGTATGCGGCTGACCCATGTTTGGGTGATAAACATGGGGTACAAATTTTAACACTTATATTATTATACACTTGAAAGATACACGTATGTCTGTGTATAACACATTAATTGATTTATTTAGGATAATCAATAAGTCGTAAACTTAATACATACATTATGTTTTTTTTTTATAACATCAAGTGATGGGACTAACAAGTCATACGATACATATATACACATAATAACAGTTGCAGTGCCACTCAAGAGCTTTATTTCGCCCGTCACCCAGAGACATAAGTTGACAAGTCTCATGTGCATGTAGTTTCACCAGTTCCCTACCCTTCAAAACCGGAACACAGTAATGCTGCTTGGCAGTAGAAATGGTGAATAGAGAAGGTGGCAGTAATTCCCTGGACGAACTCTTTCACAAGGAGCTCTACTGCTGCTGAATTATTATGTTTATACAATACAGGCATGCTAAAGAATTCCGTTGCTCTGGTACTCTTAGTACATGGAATTCCCTAGTTTGAGAACAGGTATTTTTTATTATTATGAGTGTTGCCCTAATCAAAGGTTGCCACAACTTGTCACGGTAAAACACTATAAGCTCCATACTTTTATTAAATTATGGAGCTTATAGTTTTTTACATAAATTATATTTATTATAGTATATAAAATAATGTTAAATACTAGAACATAGTGAAAAAATAGAAAGCCACATCTATTTGAGTAAGGACGTTAACAACCAAATATTACGATTGTGATTAGAAATTACATTGCAAATGAAGACTCAATATTGAAAAAGTTATAGATCACGTGATATAAAATCTCATACAGTTTTAAGATGACTTGACCAAATTTGTTTACCTGCAGACTCACTTTAGTCACTAATTAATAAATGTATTGATTAGGTTCAGTAATTTTTATTACGTATTTATACGTAAAATGTACGTATTTAAAAGTAAAAGTGCTGAGTCAATTTCAAAGGAAATATTTTAATTTTGATTGACTAAGTTTGTTACAATGTATTGTTAGGAGTACCTATCACATATAATCAATGCTAGTTTTATTCCGTAGAAGGGTTGTCACTCAAAGAAAAGGTATAACACTAAGCTGTGTTACAAATGTTGTCTACTTCTGACGGTCCTTTACCGTCAGACGCGGTTGGTGCATGCATTGTACGTGGTACGCTGGCGCAGTGGGCGCTATGCCTATTACTATGCACGCAGCGTTCCTTCCTTTCTTCCCGCCAATGTCACTCGCATTGTTCCTCGACACATCGTCGCCACGATACCTAACTGTAAACTAAGTGGACCCTGAAATTGGCATTGTCCTTGTTTTCACGCGCTCAAACATGACTTAGATTTGTGACCTAGCTTCTATAAGGAAGTTATTTCTTTAAAGAACATAAATGTGATTTAGGGTGTTACATTTAAGATGAGAAAGTACAACAGTGTGTAATGATGAAATTACTGCGTTAAATGTAGATTTCTCTAGAAGCTATTTTTATTTGTCTTTTTGAAAATAGTCTGGAGGAACCGGTCGAATGTTGACGCTTTCCAGGTTTTGAGAGTAAACGAGTATTGTATATATTTGCAGTAGGTTCGGCAGCATCGCAGGGTGGTGACCGAAGCATCCCGCGTGCCATGCTCTCGGTTAAGTTCAAGGTGAGGCGTTGGCATTTGCTGGGCGATTCGTCAACTATATGGTGTCGAGCGCCCGTCGCCCACGTCGGTGTGCATTAATATGTAATAATACAGTGTCCATTGTAATACAATAATGATGATTGACAAGCTGGTTATAGCAAAAAACATTTATCGAACAATATACTTCATAAACACTGACGACATGTATAGACAGAAAAATCAGGCTCGTACTAGGGTCTGTTAATGTTATGATATGAATGACAAGTTGATAAAAAAATTTACATGAGTAATGTATAATATCAGTAATGTGTTTTTAAGTAATAAATTCAAAAAGAATATTGAAAAATAATTAAGAAAATTGTATTAAGGCCGTAGAAAGAATAAGTTAAAACCAAAGTCTCTAGTACATAGATATCGTTGGTTAAAACCGTATACAAATGGACTCACTTCAAAGACCTTAGAAAATATTATCCCAAACGTCCTGAGTGGAGTTTGGGGTCAGTTACTCCCATTATTTATTAACATCCAATTCAAATTTCACAACTTTTCTTTTTACCGTAAAAATCAGTAGTTTATCTTGCAACTAAAAAAACAAATTTCTTAATTTTTTTTTGTTAATTTACACTTATTAGTGTAGGTTTTTTATCTGATTAAAACATTTTTTTTAACGCACACACTCATAGCCCCACACTAGGGAAACCCTGTATCGCGTGTGCCATGGACACATAAACAACCACTAATTCCACCTAAACTCACGAGAGAAATGATAGTAGACCATACAAATATTTCTTCCGGTCCGGGACCGAACCCGGGATCTCTGCGTGGCAGACCAGCATGGCAACCGTACAGCCCCCGCACATCTTTACTAAATGTTTGTGTTAAAATACATGAGTAAATTAGTAATTCCTCGATTTAGTCATAGTCATTTATTTGTATCAATAAAGTTACAAGTCACAAATATTTTACAATAACGAAAAATTGGATTGATTTACAAGAAATAATTAATACAATAATTAAATCTTAATAATAATAAACTTAAAAGATCCTCTATGGGAAACCGAGAGACACTGCACTGAGGGCTGTAATTTTTTACTTATTTATTTACAAAATTCCGGGATGCTGGGATTCCATAATACTAATAAACTTTAATATATTGATGTTAAACTCGGTAAATACTCTGATATCCATAAATATTGTGCAAAGTTTGAATTAAATAAAAACGTAGTTGGTTTTAATACAGTTTTATTAAATAGAACGTGAAGTTGTGCTGCAAAAAATGTTGCCTGATAGCATTTGATATTGATATATAGATTTTACAGCTTATCAGGAATAGAGTGAATCGTAAGTAATATTCAACTGGATAATGGTAATTCGAATCTTTCTGTACACGCCAGCACATCAAGCTACACATTGACATATCGTGTTCCGTTGCAATGGAGGCGAAATTCGAACAAAAATGTGTACTGTGATGTGCCGTTGTCCGTACCTAAATTAATTTGTTAACAACACTGACATCAATATTCATTTGTCAAAAAAGTCCCACTGTCAGCCACACTTTGTAGGTATATCTATATGAATCACCACAACTAGTATCAACAGAATGCAGAGTAAAGATCATATTTGATTTCTTTTAGAATAGGATTTTCAACACGTGTGATTAGGGTTATTAACGATTATTACTACGTGTTCTCCTACGGACTAAAACGGAAAGTTTCTCAATCGTTGTAGATATTTAGGCGGAAATGGCTAATTGAGAGGCAGGTTTATTTTATTTTTATTTTATATGTTTTGTTTGTTCTTGAATAGTTTCGATTTTTAATTGTATTTTAATTGTCGTTTGTGCTTGATGGCAGTATCAGGAAAGGCCTATAAACTATACTCTATAAGGCGTAAGCCCCTGTAAACGAATGTTTATTTTATTAATAATTTGTATTTCCTTTATTAAGGAATATATTCTGTGATTACTGTGCCTTTATATTAGCTATTGTTTCGCCTTTCAAATAACTTTATACCTAAGATGTTAGTTTATTAACTTTATTTTAAATAGATTACTTAATAAAACTTTGATTTGATATAGGTTTTTTGATACGAATTTCAGGCATAGATAATGTATTGTTTGTGATTTCCATCCTCTAAGTAAGCCTTAGAGGATGGAAAAAAAAAGAAAAGTAAGCCTCTAAGTGATACTTAGACTATGGAAACTTTTTTCCATCCTCTAAGAAGTGATACCTTCAAAACATGCTGTCATTCATGACGTGACATGACATGACATTCTTCATAATAGTGCTTAAATTCTCTTTGCATAACATGTTTTCAGAGGATGGAAAATAATGTTTTGGTGTTGAAATTTGGTTATTCAAAATCCCTGGAGACAAACTACTAAGTGGATTCTGTGTCTAACTGTGTCCCTCTATTTGACTTTTGCATAATCTCCTATTTTTTAAAAACCTCAAACGTTTAAAACAGTTGGCTTTACTTAATCAGACATTGTAAGCAATTATGTCTAGTATTGATTATATCCATAAATATGGTGACTTTATCGTAAAATTTGATATGGCGCGCGACTAAACGCATTGATTGAGGATTACTAAAATCAACGCAAAGTGGACAGCAAACATTTAAGTTCAATCATTCATAGTTCTGATGATGATTGACTTACGCTAGGTATTCGTAGTTCTTCTAAACCTCGTTACGTTCGGTTAGTTAAAATCATAATGATCCATTCACTTAGCGACCGCTCATTATCGGCACGAGAGGCCAATAGTTTCGTAATAACACGGTTATCAGTCGCGTCTCTCGATTTGTTTATCTAGTGATGCTGACGTTACTTTAACAGATTTACTTCAGTGATCAATAGTTCAGTACGGTTACAGTAGCTGGTCAGACAAGTACACTATAACGCTATACATTTATAAATGGCCTTTACAAAGCAATTATTTCTCAGCAAGCGCATTGTCACTGATTCAGACATCTTCGATGGCGGAATTTTGGTCGACGAAAATGGGAAAATCGAGAAATTGCTCAAGAGAAAGGAAAGTGATTGTTTTATTGCTGAAAATAAGGGAAAAATTAAGGTAGGTTACCATGGGATAACTGCAATTTAGTAGTTTTAGGAACACACGTAGGGCTATAAATACAAGCGTATGTTGATAAGGTATAGACAAACAATCAATAGTTTGTTATTTCTATGAAAGTATATATGTAGATCCCTGATATAATGAAATCTATGATGCCCTCCTTGTCATAACTAATGCATTTCGGTAACTTTAAAATTTTAATAGCAGTATAGTTCATTGTGAAAGAGTTCGTTCAAAGAAGTACTGCCACCTTACCTATTTCAGCCGCCAAGCAATAATGTGAGCATTACTGCGTTCCGGTTTTGCAGGTTAAAGGTGTTGGTGAAATTATAGGCTCATCGGACTTATCAACTTATGTCTCAGGGTGACGGGCGCAGTGACAATGCCCCTCAGATCTTTTGTGGTTTAAAGCTCTGAGCGGCACTGCAACTGTTATGGACAGGCGTGTCGCTTACCACCAGGCGCACGACTTGTTATTCCCTCACTTGGTATCACAAAAAAAATATATTGGCACCTAAAGTTTTATTGTCACCTACACAAATAAATAATACTGTTTTTGCTTAATACTGAATAATAAAACTGAAACTAAATAAGATTTAATAAAACCGATATAGGGGGTAGAATATCTATTATCCTGTCGCTGATCCCAGATGTGATAATAACTCGATTTTGCTAAAAATGTCGAATATGTACGTTAGTTATGATAAGGAGGACATATAAATGCAGCATATATAAATATTCACATGCAATTAATTATGTTTCAATTTGGTTTCAATGACATTCGTCTAGTTGTATCTTGGCTACTGATCAATAATAATATTGTCGGAGATAGTGCAAAGGCGCGTATGTAGTATTGGTAAGAAGCGCGTATCTTCACGTGATCTAATTTTACAGGAGTGGGTTTAAACGTTATTATTTTGTTATTTCAATGACTAAGACTTTCACAGACTTTCACTTATTTTTGCACAGTAAGCATTAATTTAAGCTATTTACGGACTGATAACAATAGACTCCAGTAAATTACGCTAGTTTGGTTGTCACGATTATTACGCGGATTTGGTTTGGCTACTAAATTACGGAAATGGCAACTTCATAACGTATACTTAGGTAAGCTACGCGCCTTTGCACTATCCCCGACGATATGTTTCTTTAGGCATATTACATTATCTTATGTAACGAAGCTTATCTGGAGTTGACATTACTTATTCATTTGGAATTCTTAACAAATAAGTGGATACTGTGTTTCATTCCTTATTGTTATAATGATAATTTCTAACTATGTTACAGAACTATATATACCTACTTGCCATGTGTAACCATATTATATATTCGCCGTGACATTTTAGAGTCTCCAATAAAGTCATTTTACACCTTTGACAATTGAGGCTATCAGCGCAAAAGTTATGTTACTTCCGGTAGCGCGCGTTATGTCATTTGGATGCTATTTTCATGTTTATAAAAACAATGACATGTGTGCGAGCACGTTTTGATTTTTTTTTATAATATCAAGTGGCGGCGCGTGTACACGTTAAGAAATTCGTCGTGTCTGCAACAGAAGAGACGACAATGGCCTTGTACACGACAAGAATTTTCTCGGATCTATCCACGAAAATATTTCGTGTCTGTTGCAGACAAGAAAATGATGAGTATGTACACGATACGAATGCTTTCGGGCAGACGTGTGTAGGGTAAACGTGTCAGTGCACTTCCAGGTAGCTGTCGTTTTACTACTGACTGTGTGAAGAAATATGTTGACTACTAATAAAAAAATGGTAATTGCAAATTGTATGTATAGAATAATAAATATTTCTCTCCATGCCTCAAAAGTACGTCGCTTATCTTTATAAATCTCTAAGATTTTGTCCCACAATATGGGTCGTTCCTCTACTAAACTTATAAATAAATCATGCATTTTATTAGTAGCAAAAAATAAATCATGCATTTTATTAGTAGCAAAAATTAGTGATGCAACAGTGATACTATGCAAAATCAGTCCACACGCATAACCGTTCGTTTACTGACAATGCGCCCTATGCAATAGCGGCAGAGCGCGTCGTGTCGGGGGTAGATAAGATTTTTTTCTTGTCCGGCGCCGACGCTTTGTACACAGTTCGTGTGTAGAAACGACACTAATTCTTGCATAGATCCAGCTTTTCTTAGCGTATATATGCGGCCTGACGGGATGAATAAGTCGTGCACCTGATGGTAAGCTACACGCGTGTCCATAACAGTTGCAGTGCCACTCAGAGCTTTAAATCGCAAAGATCTGAGGCGCACTGCCACTGCGCCTGTCACCCTGAGATATAAGTTGACAAGTCCCATGTGCATGTAATGTCACCAGCATTTGATACTATTTATAGTTTTTTATTCCTCTAAGTTTGTATTCTTTTTGTCGTATTGTTTTGTTCGTCAATTGTCATGTAAAATAGCTGGATAAAATACGTTCTTAAGGTGACATTCTCTGTAGCCCCGATATCCTATTTTTTATATAAGATATTACTTTTTCCATCCTTTAAGGATATTACCCACTGTAATGTACGGCTGAAGTACATGATGTACGTGTATTTTTTTAACCGACTTCAAAAAAAGAGGAGGTTCTCAATTCGACTGTATGTTCTTCTTGTTTTTTGTATGTATGTTACGCTATAACTCCGATATTTGTGAACCGATTAATTTGAAGAAAATCATCCACCTCGAAGGGTGGCTGTTCACGCATGAAGATTCATTTTTATAAATAGCGCTTAACTTTAATTTAGGTGCAATTACTTTAATGGATGATTTTGCTATTTCTCCAATTCAAGGCGTTTTTCTCTCAATATACTTTGAGTTCCCGATTTTTATTATCTCCAGTGTCAAGTCCTGTATAGTGGCGAACTATATTTATTTATAACTATATATATATTTTAACTATATTTATAACTATATTTCAATAAAACTTAGCAAATAGACGCAATTCCACGTACTTTTGAGGTCGGTTTTTTTAGTACTCTGTACTGAGATTATATATGAATGTACTACTATTACTTTAAAACAAAAAAACAATTACGTTGGCGTGGCTACGGATAATTTTCTGTAGCCACGCTACCTATTAATAATTTTTGTGAGTGATGTTAGTTTTTTTTTAATTTAGCCAATGTATAACGCTCTGTATTAAGCACGTATCAAAAAAAAAAAAAAAACACAGTCGAATTGAGAACCTCTTCCTTTTTTGAAGTCGGTTAAAAATAGGCGACCAGCATTGACCTTGGCGAATAGTGAGCAAATTCTGCTACATTTCAATTGTCAAATTTTATAATATTGAAACGTCTTCACATTCATGTTACAAAATATTGTTTACCAATTTTGCTAATACATTATTGATAGGCGATAAAGACAAATGGACTCACAGTCAACTTGAACATTGAAATGTAGCTGAACTAATTTTCATTTCGCCTATTTTTTTATATGTATAAAATGTACATCGTCTGTGTATTGGCCAAATTCAGAAAAATAGCTAAAATTGCATTTACAAGTATTAATAATGGCGTGGCGTGGCTACAGATCCGCAGCAACGTCACAATAATTGTCTTTTTTTTCTTTTAAACTAATAGTAGTACATTCACAAAAATACATGAACATCATGCACGTCAGCCGTCTATTACAGGGGTTCTAAGCAATGGGTAATATCATAACAAAAAAAATTGGGCGGCGGGGCTACAGAGCAAAGGATTTTAAATCTTTCTAGGCAAGCGTCTCGCCAACATTCATTAAATATTTTTTATACATGAAAATAGCATCTAAGTATAAAATATTTAAGTACATAAACCATGTACCTTACTATTATTTAAAGTAATATTGTGGTGCAAGGTGGTGTAACTTAGCATCCTAAAGTAAGATAAAATAAAATAAATTTAATAGTCAAATATTTTTTATATATGAAAATAGCATTTAAGTATAAAATAATTACTTATGTAATTCCAGCAGTATTTAAAGTAATATTATAGAAAAAAAAATTAATGTGGGTTACACCACTTTTGCGCTGATAGCCTCAATTATAAAACAAACGTAAAAAACGTACTTTGCTTAAGTTTAAGCAAGAAATTAAGCTAAGCGTTGAGTATACTTCGTAATTTCTTACTTAAAACTCAGGCATAGTTCCTTGTGTAAGTAAGTACAAAAAACTAGCGTATTGCATTTTTGCTTTGTCGAAGTCAAAGTTCGTTTTGAAAATCTCAACCCTAGATTTGCAGCAGCTAATGTATTAAATTTAAAATTGCTGGATATTGGCCTTTCCCATCGTATCTCAGAATTTTAGTCTTTTTCTCTACCTCACCCAGCCATTATCTACCCCCTCTCTTAGATGTCATTCTATATGTAGTCGTTTATTTTTCATTTGTTTTATAGAATTAAAAGTCTTTGTTCCTTTATACAGACACTTTAGGCCTTAGCTAGATACGATTCGGTCCTGAAATAAATTTGCCTTTTTTAAACTACTTTAAAAAAGGAGGAGGTTCTCAATTCGACTGTATGCTTTTTTTGTATGTATGTTACGCGATAACCGTGTTTTGTGAACAGATTTTCATTATACTTTTTTTGTTGGAATGAGGATACCTGGGTAGTGGTTCCATTTAATTTGAAGAAAATATTCCACCTCTAAGGGTGGAATTAGGGGATGAATCCAGTTTCGCTCACTTTCCTGTCACTGATTTCAATAAAACTTGGCAAATAGATGTAATTCCACTAACTTTTGAGGTCGATTTGTTTTAGTACTCTATACTGAGATTGTAATTCACATCAATCTGAATCTGGGATGCACAAAAGGAGCTTCCTCGCGCTTTTTCTTTCCTTTCATGTACGCCTAGCGCACTCTGAGTAACAATCGGCGAGTACCTTCCGCCGATTAGCAAATCACAACATGCATTATAGTGTATGCCATTGATACGATAAGAAAAAGTCTGAATCTGATTAATGCCGCAAATTAATATTAACATTATAATAATATAGGTCATAGATGGTGGTGACCTAGCATTACTGGCTGGTGTGGTGGATTCTCATGTACATGTAAATGAACCTGGACGTACGGCATGGGAAGGGTTTAGAACCGCCACTCACGCAGCAGCAGCTGGTGGAATAACCACCATCGTCGATATGCCACTGTAAGTCATATCATACAATTATCATAATTATATTAAAATATATAAATCTCTACAATAATTGTTGTCTCTTTTTTATATCGATATAATGTTAATCAATCACACCTGTTAAATAATACGTTACTAAGTACAAAAATTGTTTGTACTCTTAATTATAATCATAATCATAATAATTTATTCATAATTTCCATTACATGTCAATTTAGTACTAATGTCAAAGAGAATATTAACTAAACAAATGTATTTTAAATGAATTGCATTATAAACTGATATTAAAGAAATATACTAACCTACATACCAAAAATTCTATGCCATATTCTAGTACTGATTGTACGTAGGCAAAATAGCATGCACGAACTCTGGCTTTTGTAAGTGTCGCAGAGAGACGACTAAGAGCAAAGCATGCCTTCGCCAGTTTTCCACAAAGATGGTCAATGTGTTCCTCCCAAGTCAATGCTTGATCTACCAGGAAACCAAGGAAGGATACCATCTGCACTTGCTCTACACGCACACCGTCTACGCTGAATATAAGTGGTCGGCGGGGCCTACCAGAAAGGTCTAAACTTTTATGAATTGCGTCTTTGTAAGATTTAATATCAATCCGTTGCTCCGAAACCAGCCTGCTAGGTCATACGCAACAGAGTTGAGGAGCTGTACTAACGCGTCAAGAGTCGGTCCAGTAATAATTGCTGCTACATCATCTGCATACATATATATGTCTGCCTGTCCTATTACTACTATTAAATTATATAAAATAATTTAACAGTAACTCAAAACGTACGGTTCCCAAAGTGGTATGTATCGACGCCTAGGCGTCCAGTCCATTTACAAGGGGTCTATGTCACTGAAAAAAATAGTAGGCGGTGCATGAGACGTTAATGGAATCTACAAGAGTGAAACCCTATATGTAAAAACTTTTGAACCGTTTGTCTTTATTCATACAATAAAATGATCTAAGACAATTACCTACTAACCAAAAACAGCTCTCAACTTATTATGCGTTTGCTCACTCGCGGCTGGCCTATGAGATTATACTGTGAGGGCATTGCAGTAACTTTTAACCAATTTTTGTTCTTCAGACGAAATGCAACAGAATATTAAACACCATAGATCAAAGGGATTTTTGTAAATCTTACTTATAAATATGAACATACATAGTATTAAGTTGCTTATATATTTTTTAAAAATTAATGTAATTTAATAATTATTACTGTAATTTCGTTTAAAACATATAACATTCTTTATTCGTTATAAAGTATATATAACTTACCTATATACTATACTACATACTATACACTCCATTAAAGTTTATATGACGTTACTATAGACGTACTAATCGTTAGCAAAATTAACTTAAATTCTCTTTCTCCTTCATATACAATGTTAATAAATAGTTATTTGTTCAACAAGAGAGCAAAGTCGTTTTTTGGTGCGAGTGCTGTTTTTGAGTCCTGAGCAAGCGAAAGATTCTATAGTTGAATCACGAGCGTAGCGAGTGATTCAGAATTAGAATCTTGAGCGAAGCGAGGGACTCAAAAATACGAGCTGCAAAATAACTTTGCTCTCGCGTGATACATACAACTTTTCACCTCAGCAGCGAGAACATATATATATACTAAAGGGACAAGTAATAAAAACACGTCATGAAAGCAAATGCATCATTGTATATTACAAAAATACAGAATTTACAAAAAATTAAAAGTGGAACGTGAAGTTTGTACAATTCTGTAGATTAAAAGTTACTGTTTTATTTGGAACAGTAATCGTCGTAGTGTTTGCTACTTGAGTAGTGGTCGAGGTTTCATTATGAGTTGAGCTGGATTGTGACCCTTCCCGCACCGTAAAAGTTGGTGATTCTGGGCGGGTTTGGGTATGATTCGCATCACTGGAGGTGCTAGGTTGTGCCCAAGAATGCGAAGTCTGTTTTAGGTTTATCGAATCTATAATACGCTTACAGATTTTTGATTTATTTTCTATTGAATCTTCGATATATCCTTCAGCCACTGTATTTGATCTCCAACCGCCATGGCGCTTCAACGTTGTGAGGTCAGCTCCTCCATCTGCCAAAAGAGTGGCTGATGTTCGCCTGAAGCAGTGGCCAGTGTATAGCTGCGGCTCTTTCAAATCTAAAAATGTTGCGATTTCTCGTGCAGTCGCTCCTATTTTATTAATACCCATCGGTTGCCGCGTACATTTTCCATTACGATATTGTATGAAAAAGCGGCCTGTGATCGTATTGGGAGGGCGCAATGCTTTATATTTCTGGACAACGTGTGCGTATTCCTCACGGACGACGAACGACCTGTCTATATTTGTTTTCGTATTTGGCAGGTTAATCAAAAGAAGGTCGCTGGAATGTTGTTCAATGGCATTAGGAGTTAGATTCAATAACTCGTTGGAGCGGCATGCTCCGTTTATTCCAATGATAAGGATGACCTGAAACATAAATAAAACGTCAATAAGTATTGTGTCTTTTAGAGCAGTCTTAAACGTGGATTTCTCATAATATGTAGCGTTATTTTTAACCATAAAGTTCCAATACAAGTCGCCAAAACAACACATTTAAGTAGGTAAGTATAATTATGTTGATAGAAATTGATAACATAACTACCAAAGTCCAAATTGTATTAACAATTAAAATATAACGCTACGACAACAGTAATAATATTCAATACTTACTTTTGCGGCTAGGAAAGTGCAATCTGGAGCTTAATTAAGAAATTTTTCAATATTAGCAGCCGTGAAAACTTTCGATTTTTTTGATTTGTGGCCGACGGCCGATCTTTTCAAAAACGCAATCAGCTTTGCGTAAGTGTTTATATGGACGTTATTTTTAGTTTGTAATGTAGCTTTCAACATCGAATATATACTCCACATCGTTGACGGCTGTTTTGTATGCGACATTTCAATGAAATAAGACAGAAGCACAGTTTCCGACATAGTGTTTCCTGCGCCCTTTTCGTGCCTCCATTTGTCAAAATGTTCGTAGACTTTCAGGTACTTTTCACGAGATTTACTAGGCAAGAAACTTAGTTCAGCATTTTTAACAGTTTCAACTAACTCTGGAGGAGTTAAAAAATTGTCGTCTTCACTGGAATCGCTCATATTTTCTATTTTATTACGTAGGTAGGTATCCAATTAACTATCAAAGAAGTACCTATCGCAAGCAAATAAGAAATTTTGAATTAAAAAAAAAAGAAAGCGCGCTTTTATTTATTGCGTTCCGGAACGTTCTCGCTTGTATTCATTGAAATCACACATTGTAAATATTGTTATCTTTAATTGACGTTATAAATTTAGCATATTTTTATTGCAACACTTGCTTTATTTTTAATGAAAATTGTAAAAACTAAATTATCATAGTATAAAATCGTATTTGTATTTCTCACATAATTTATCTTTTAGATGAATTGACGAGTTTCCGAACGTGCACTCGTTCAGCCATTTTGTGGGGGTCTACTATGTAGCTTAAATATCGAAGTACGAATAAACCATAATTTTCTTTTTCCTTTTTCTTGTTTCAATGAAGTGAAAGGGACGGAGCGACTGATTTTGAAATATGTCGAATTTGTATTAGACCCCTTCGCATTAAATGACAAGTCTCCACTTAAAAAGCAAAAAGCTACTTTTTCTCACGGAGTGAGCAAAATAAGATTTTGCTCACTGATTTCACACAGCAAAATAGCCTTGTTCGAGCTGCTGAGGTGAAAAATATATACTCACGTCTCTAGTTACATTAAAATTTTGGAGAAAATAATGGTCTTCGAAAAACAGTTAATGAATTTTTTTTTTAAAAAAGGCTATTATAATATGCCAGAACTTTTCGAAGATTCCTATCATGTCTGTGTCACTGCTACAGATAAAGTACATTAATTAATTGTTATCTATTCTATGCTACTATTTGTTAATATTTTAAAATATCAATTTATTTTTTGATGTAAATATATGAATATACTTAGTTAATAGTCAAATTATAATTTATTTTAAGATATGAATGTATGTATAATGTTTACTAATAATTATAAGAACAATAATGGAATATATATATTAACTAATTACGTTCAAGCCTAAAAAGTATTTATATTTAAAAATGTCACTTTACTACGGCCTGACAAGGTTAACACCTACTATAGTCGTGAGTTTAGCAATCTGTACTCTGTACCATAATTTTGAGTTTAATTTTCTCTACCTGATTTCGGTGCTTAAGTATTACTTAAGTATTCGAATATTGAACTATTAAATAATATTTCAGGATACTACACTCCAATATTAAGTAATACTTCATGGTAGTATTCTAGAATATTTAAATAATAAAAAATGCTATTGTAATTAGGTAGAGAAAGTTAACGTGAAAATTACTCTCACATGAAATGCAAATTAATGAATATGCATATGAGCTCATTTTGGTAGGTAGTGACTAAAATTTTGGCTTTTCATAAATGGAATAATCTATATTACACAGATATCTGGTAATATATTATAATAGATAGTACACAGGAACTTACATAATATTTTCTTACAATAGACATATACCTATGGAGCAAACATTCCACAACAAACAAGATATGGTATGTTCGGTTAGATAAATGTATAAATTTAATATATATATATATATATATATATATATATTTGTAAAGTTTCCCAATTCAAAGTGAATGCACTGTATCAGTTGTTAAATTGAAAACACATAGTTGATGAATTTGTGAAATAAATCCATATTAGAAAGGCAAAACAGAAAAAATTGGCATGTGGTTTACGAGACAAAAAGTATCGGAACCTCCGCTTTAAATTAACACATTATCTATATTTTTATTCAGTTCATGAAATACTTTTTTCTCAGCATTGTAAAATATAGGTAAATATACATTACTTCATTTTTATATAATATAGGTACATTGACTTACAATTACATGGACGTCAGGTCCGCGCTAAAAAGTGTCCGAACTTATAGGGCGTTAAAATCGTATACAGAGCGTCATTCACGCTTTAGTCTTCGTTTGTTCGACTGACAGCGAAGCAAGCAAAATTAGACAGTACTGCGATGACATTACAATTTAAATTCAACGTTTTAGCTTTTTCATATTCCTTTGCATGTCACTACGTTTAAATAGATTGACTACGTTTAAATTGATTAAATAGGTTGACTTGGGACATTTTTTTCGTGGTTTTTGTATTAGACCTGTCGTTCATTTATTTGTAAGTCAATGATAATGTAATAAAGAATCTGGTTGCATTTTGTGATAAGATGATTCGTTTTTCAATGAAAGTTTTGTATTTATTTAAAAAATCTAACTCGATTTATTTTCTATAAATTTTCTCGTGCGGTTATAAATCAATACTCGAAACAAAATCTTTCAACGCAACCTTTTTTACATTTTTTGATTAAATAAATTATTTTGAGGTCGTAAAATAAATCTGTACTTTAATATATTATACTCGTACATACATTAATTACCATGTTCGTTGTTACAGGAACTCTATACCTCCAACAACTACAGTGGAAAACTTAAGAACTAAAGCCGCTGCCGCTAAAAACAATGTTTATGTTGACGTTGGTTTTTGGGGAGGTGTTATACCGGGAAACCAGGTAACAGAATTCTGTAATAATAAATAAAATAAATAAAAAAATGACTTAATGTATTATTAATACGTGTGACTGCTTTTTAAACTAAGCAATAACGTTTAAAATTGCCATGAAAAATTGGGCACAAACTTTATAGTTTTTTAATACTGTTTTGTACTTACAGTTAATCATCGTCATCATCAACCTATTTATAAGTCCCACTGCTGGGCACGGATCTCTTCTGAGGCGATGTTCTTTTTTCCGCCACTCTGCCCAACGCGGGTTGGGGACTTCACATGTGTTCCGAGGGTTGTAACCTTCTTCGACGTGTAGGTTTCATCACGATTTTTTCCTTCATCGAAAAGCTCATGGTAAATTTTATCATTAAATCCATTGACTTACAATTATATGGACGTCGGGTCCGCGCTAAAAAGTGTCCGAACTTATAGGGCGTTAAAATCGTATACAGAGCGTCATTCACGCTCTAGTCTTCGTTTGTTTGACTGACAGCGAAGCAAGCAAAATTAGACAGTACTGCGATGACATTACAATTTAAATTCAACGTTTTAGTTTTTTCATATTCCTTGACATGTCACTACGTTTAAATAGGTTGACTTGGGACATTTTTTTCGTGGTTTTTGTATTAGACCCGTCGTCCATTTATTTGTAAGGCAAAGATTAAATCCCAAAAAATTCACTCTAGAGGCAACTCGGCTTATTTTACCGTTTACTTACTGTCAAACTTATACTTAAATATTGTAATGAACTTATTACAGGACTCTTTAAAAGACCTAATAAAGGCAGGAGTAGTAGGATTCAAATGTTTTCTCTGTCCAAGTGGTGTCGATGAGTTTCCTAACGTTGAACCTGGAGATTTGGAAAAGGCATTTAAAGCTTTGGAAGGAACTGAATCAGTTCTAGCGGTAAGGCTGTATTAGACACCCTTAAAATTAATTATTAAAAAAATATTTTTTTTAGAGGAGCAAATATAAGTATAATTAATATGCACAGTCGCTAGCTATGTAAAACTGTTTGACCGGGTACATGAATATTGTCCTACATAAGGTTTGTCGTCTAACAAGTACCTACATTATTTTTTCTAGTTTCACGCGGAATTGGAAGAAGACAGGCTGAAAAACAAGCCTAAAATGAAAAAGAAAGGTATTGTTTGCCAAAGAGTCTACCCATGCGAAAACATGTTAATGATTTCTTGGGTCAACCATCGTCAGGTTATACAAAAAAGAAATCATTATAAAATGGATTTGTAAAATATTTCAACTATTTATAATTTCCTTGGTATACTTAAAACTCATAAACTCATAAAAGTAATACGAACTACTAATAATATGAAACAAATCACTCATTTGGTGCTACACTGACGCAATTGTACTTCTTGTAATGGTACAGGAAATGGATTTCAGTTGATTGTTAATTTTATTTCAAATTTTTGACGTGTCTGTAAAACTTTTGCCTATTTTTAACCGACTTCAAGAAAGGAGGAGGTTCTCAATTCGACTGTATGTTCTTTTTTTTTTCTTTTTTTTGTATGTATGTTACGCGATAACTCCGGTATTTGTGAACCGATTTTTATGATTCTTTTTTTGTTGGAAAGGGGGTACTTCCATAGTGGTCCCATTTCATTTTGAAAAAAATCATCCATCTCGAAGGGTGGTTGTTCACGCATGAAGATTCATTTTTATTATAAATAGCGCCTAACTTTAATTATTTAACGTTATTAATATTAATATTATATTAGCTATTAATATTAATATTAATTAGGGGCAATTACTTTAATGGTTGATTTTGCTATTTCTCCAATTCAAGGCGTTTTTGTCTCAATATACTTTGAGTAGTGAGAACCGATTTTTATTATCTCCAGTCAAGTCCTGTATAGTGGCGAACTAGGGGATATTTCAATAAAACTTAGCAAATACACGTAATTCCACGTACTTTTGAAGTCGGTTTTCTTAATACTCTGTACTGAGATTATACATACATATGTACCTATGTATGTATACTTCAAACTTATTATTTTATATACTTCAAACACTTGTTATGTTACAGATGACTTTAAAATACTTGATTCAATTTTATCAAAATTATTTTTAAGTCAATGTAGCACCGATTGAGCGAAATTATGTTTATATGAAATTTTATAACTCTCCTATTTAAACATATAAAAGTTGTCGACTAATTTTGCACGTAGAATCTTTAAACCTCTCTCCTGAAAAATATTCACTTTGCATATGTGGCCTCATTACCGGGGTGCGAATGAATTGCCATCATTTATTTTATTGTGACCATTGACAGGTCAATGAACATGGCGTACCTATAAATTACATTATATTACTTTATTTTATTTCAGATCCCAATGATTATCATACTTATTTAGAGACACGACCTTCGAAAATGGAATTAGATGCTATTTCGCTCATCTCGAGTTTCCTCAACAAAACAGAGTACGTTTAAACAATATACTTTATCTATGGTTATGTTGTTGTTGAAATATGATACATAGGTAATTTGTCGGTACAACGTTTGTAAATATTTGTTGCGTAAAAACCAGACAAAACAGAATATTAGTGCGTACTATAACAAATACGTATAATATACAGGGTGTAATAATTAAGTGTGATAGTTTGAAGATTTTTGATATTTCTTATATGTACGGAATAATCGCCTGGGCACACTTAACGTTTATAACCTGAATAGGGCACTGACTATTTTTTAACCGACTTCAAAAAAGGAGGAGGTTTCAATTCGCCATTATTTTTTTTCATTTTTTGTATGTATGTTACGTTATAACGCGATAACACTTTTGCGAACCATTTTGATGATTCTTTTTTGTTGGAAAGAGGGTACCTCAGTAGTAAGAGTGGCAAACTAGGGGATGAATAACTAATGAGGTCGGTTTTTTCAGTATTCTGGACTGAGATAATATTCAGTATTGTTTAAAAACTATTTGCTCCATGAATTACGACTCCATTAATTAATAGTACTAAATTTCTATTATAGTGTTCGAGTCCACATTGTTCACGTATCATCATCAGACGTTATACCCCTGCTTGAGAAAGCTCGTAAAAACCGCATAGCTGCAGGGAACAGCGCCTGGCGCGGTGGGGTCACAGCCGAAACCTGCTATCATTACCTTACACTGAGCGCGGACGAAATACCGTCTGGCCACAGCGAGTATAAGTGTGCTCCTCCTATAAGAGACAAGGATAATAAAGTAAGTTATAGGTAGATGTTGTTTTGTTCCATCGAGTTTAAAACCAGAAATCGAGACGAAATAAGGGCCAACCATCCCTAGCAACTCGTCAGACAAATAGGCCACTTTTAAATATCAACTCTAGCTTGCGCTGAAATCACAAATTAGAAAGCTGGAATAGTACAGCGCCAACAACTGACCTGTGTGTACGTCTCCGTATATTCCAAAAATATGCTGTATTTATTGTAATAAATATAATATCTCTAACAATGGGGGGCTGTTCCATTCGGTGGTGTGGGAAAACCAGCAAAATATTTAATAACAAAACAAACGGAATCACATTTCATCGGTAATTATAATATTAAATATGTAATTTTTCAATTTTCGTCCATTATGGCAAAGCACAAGTTAAACTGGTCGTTTTGAAGTGAAAAAATTGACGACACCCATCAATTGTTTCGAATTCGGGCTGGCCAATCGGAGCGCAGTTGTCACCGCAATGATTTGGCAGAATAGTTTTCAAATAAACTAAATGACATTTCATCTCTATTGCTAGTCATATACTCGATGTTTTGTTCTAATCCATGTTATTTCTATTATGTGCACATCGGGTTCCCGCTGAGGAAAGACTGCCAATCCACCGTTTTGGCTCAAATAGGTTTAGGCACTTTACCCATCTTCAAAACATGTTTTTTAGTGTAATTAATGATTTAATCGAGCCGACACCTATTCATTTTTTAAACTTTTACATATAATTATTATTACTAGTATTTGAGGAGAATCCACTTATTTTGCTCTGTCGGTGTTTAATTCCTCAGGAATCTCTGTGGAAGTATCTGCTGGACGATAAAATCGATTTGGTCGTGTCTGACCATTCACCGTGTACTTCCGATCTCAAGTGCAGCAATTACTTGGAAGCTTGGGGAGGAATTTCATCAGTGCAGTTTGGTAAAGTGTTCTACAAGTAGTTACATCACTTTATATCTATTTCTGTTTTTCTTGTTTATAATATCATCGTCTTTGTGCTAGATTATAAAACATCACTCTATTAACAAGATGAAGACTGCTCGGCTCAAGTTTGGTAAATAATTTTAACAAATTGGTTAACTCGTCATATTCATTAACGTCTTTTATTATATTCAAGGGCTGTCATTATTCTGGACGGAAGCAAACGCTCGTGGTCTGAACCTAAACGTCGTATCAAAATACCTCAGTTCCGGTCCGGCTCTACTAGCCGGCCTCCAAGATCGTAAGGGTGCTTTAAAACCTGGCCTAGATGCGGACTTGGTTTTTCTGGACTCTGAAGCTCAATTCAAGGTTTCTACCGATATAATTCGCTATAAAAACAAGGTTAGTACTGACATTTTACAACACAATTACTTTTAATTACCTTTTAGTATATACACTTTATTAGATATCAGTAGTAAGGAAGGAAAGTTCCACATTTTTCCAACCACACATACTTATGACAAAAACATTAGAATTAAATTTTTATTGAATTGATATTCAATTATTTTTTGTGAAATTACTCCACTAGTTTGTTATAATTATTAATACAAAGATCGAACACTCAGAAGAAACACTCAGAAAAAATTCCTTCGACTCAGAAAAAATCCGACCGGATCGAAGGAATTTTTTCTGAGTGTTCGATCTTTGTATTAATAATTAAAAACATTAGAAGTTAGTTTAGTTGTTACGTATCTCATTCTGATGAAATTGTAATTTCAAGATCTTCCTTGTTGTCGGGGTCATTGGAAATGACAATTTAAATCATGTAGAGTCATGAGAGATTGTGATTTAGATAGTCTCCTATCATTATTTATCTTTTATTTTCAAATTTTAAAACTATAATTATGTATCAATCTATAAAAAAATGTAAGTTCTGGGTAATTAATAGTGATCGGGATGGAGGGAGTTGATCTACCTAAACTACGAACGTTTTCTTATTATGGACATAACCATTTCGTCATCAATGCGTATACAATGACTTTTTTTACTGTTTATTTTCTAAACATTCCAAAATATAGATTGTCTCATGTTTATATTTTAAATGGTTAGTGTATTTAAATACGTCAGTACTTTTTTATAATATCAAGTGACGGGACGAACAAGTCCTGCACCTGATGGTAAGCTACATGCCTGTCCATTGCCATTCAGAGCTTTAAATCAAAAACGTTGAAGGGGTACTGAAACTGTGCCTGTTACCCTGAGACATAAGTTGACAAGTCCCATGTGCCTGTAATTTCACCACCACCTTTACCCTTCAAGACCGGAACTGAACGGATGCTGACATTACTGCTTGGTGGTAGAAATAGGTAAGGTTAGTAGGTAGTACTTCCCTGGACGAACTCTTTCACAAGGAGCTCTACTGCTACTAAAACACTATAGAAACACAATTTCGATATGAATTTTTGAGACAATAATTTGTAGCAATGTACACAAATTTCAATAAATAATATGCATCTTCAAATTGTATGTGTTTCGTGAAATCCCGGGATTTGTAGAAGGGAATATCCACATTATTCTTTAGTTTAGTTAAATTAACTCCCTCAGTTGCGATAATTGTAAATTAAACGTTTACACCTTTTGGGGTTTCAGTTATCGCCTTATTTGAACAAGAACCTAAAAGGAGTAGTGAAACAAACCTACCTTCGCGGTCAACTAATCTTCGAAAATGGAAATATCATAGGAGAACCAAAAGGAAATCTGTTGCTAAAAAATTTTTAAATTTATTTATTAGATTAGATTAGATTAGATTCATGTTTATTTGCCAAAATACAGTAAATATACAGGTCTTAAATTAAATTGGTACAATGTATTATAATCCAAAGCTTTATTTGTTATACTCGTAACAACGGTAACAATGTTGATTTAATTTTTGGTTTAAAAGTATAAATTTTGTTTTAAATAAATATTTTTATTGTCTTTTATTTTTGTGTCTTAGTAGATTGATTTTTAGCCCTTGTATATTTTGCATTTATCTTAGCAGAATGTCGTCATAACGAATTTGTTATATAACCCTTTATCAAATTAAAGTGATAAAAAATACAGTAAGAAAAAATCGATAAAACGCTGAATATTAAATCACGACGTTTTTGTTAAATCAGCATCCATGATAAAAACCATATCAGTACTGAACTGATATAATTGTGTACAGATACTACTTATACCTCTCTTTCCGCCAGGCAGATCTTTTTACAACGTGTTGGATTCTGAATGTTCCACTTTTGTACCGGCACAGTAACTTTATTGGATATTCGCAAGGTCAATTCATTGTGAAAAGTCATCGTATGTTTAATTATTTTGATAACGTCTTGATATTGAGCAAGTATTTACGTAGGTGCATGAACAATAAAACAAATTTACGTAGATTTACCCATATTTATTACTTACCTCTGTTATTGTTTGATTATCTTGTTGTCGAATAGGTTTATAATACTAAATATGATAAACTTTGCATAGTTAGTACTGTACTGAGGCGTAGCTCTAATGCGTAGCGAGAGGTACTTCTAAGAATATAAACTGGGATTAACTTCAAAGATTTGGTTTATTTCACATTTTTTTACATAGTTTATACTTTCAGTCTAGGATGTAATATGTAATATGTCAAGATCTTATGTTTCCTTATTTCAATTCTTCAAAAGCATTCTAATTACAAATACTATATTCACTAGCTATATTCCGCCTGCAATTCTACTCATAGAGTAGAGCCTAGACTACAGTACTGTTAGATAACAAGCAATAGAATACTCCTATGTATGGGTGAGTAATTGCTTATTATTATTAATTGGTTTTAAGAACCACAAATTATCACATAATGTGAATTACTGAACTAATGATGACTGGATGATTTACATCCTTACAACAAAATTTGTTTTAAAAATTATAATATAAATTTTAAATAATATATAATATAAATTTTAAGTTTACGTTATCTAATAAATTATTTTATAGCAGCTTACCACTTATCAGTGTTAGTCTGAAGATATAATTACTTACTGTCTACAATTTTTTTTTCATACGACGAGCTGTGCGGAGGCTATTTGCCTTACCCAAATCTGAAGCAGCCTTTTTTATTCTCGAGGCTCTACCTCCTCGAGGAGGGGCAGTATGTTAGCGCCTCCTTGGATGCTTTGGCTGCTGGCTACGATGGCTTGACGTTTATTATTATTGATTTTATTTTGTTCTAAAGAAAAATGTCATATTTTTATTTTTCTCATTGTTATAAAGTATTCTTAAAGAAAAAACCTTCTGATTTACACTAATAATGGAGTCTTATTTATCGGCGTTAACATTTTGGTAATCATTTAGCTAATTATGGAAATCAACAGGTATACGATAGTAACGTTATGGTAAATTTTCCGTTGTTGGCGTCGATAGATATTATGTGGCTTTATGTTTACTTACTTTTTGGTGTTATGTTATAATTCTTAAATATTTTTGTAGCAAAAAGGAAGTTTGATAGTTCGTTTAATAAATTTAAGTAATAATAATGTGGACATAATAAATTTACTACGGAAATTTGGAAATTATCAACACTGTTCGCTAATTTAAGTACACTAATAAAACCGACCTCAAAAGTTCGTGGATTTACATCTATTTGCCAAATTTTATTGAAATCAGTTATCGGAAAGTGCACGAAACCGGATTCATCCCCTAGTTTGCCACCCTTAGAGGTGGAAAATTATCTTCAAATTTAAATGGGATCAGTACTGAGGTACCATCTTTCCAACAAAAAAATCATAAAAATCGGTTCACAAATGCGGATTATCGCGTAACATACATACAAAAAACAAAAAGAAACATACAGTCGAATTGAGAACTTTCTCCTTTTTTGAAGTCGGTTAACAAAAGATACAAGTTAACGTGTTAACTACAACAAGGTTTCCTACTAAATTCACATTAAATATCACGCTACATAATACATTTGTTAGGTAAGCTGTTGATGTATTATGATGTAGATGTATTAAGTAAACCATCACTAACGTATACTTACCAAAACTTAAACCATTAGTAACGTATATTTTCATAAAATCTGCCGAAATAAATCGTTACTAGAAAAGATAAACATTTGTTAGAAATATGTAAATTGATTCATTTGTATTTTATTGAACCAATGTATGCATGATGTACACTAAATGTATGAAGACGGTTTGGTATAGTAATTAATATCTGTAGAAACCTTGAAATTTTGCACAACAATGAAGACTGAAACTGACGTTCGCGTTAGTTATTAGAGTTTTTGCTGGAAAGTTGTACGGAGTGTGTTGCAAAGAATACCTTAGTGATTTCATAGGTGCAGAGTGAGATGAGCTAGACATACCCAGTGATAATCTTCAAGCTAATCTTAATTGATTAATGATGAAGAAAATCTGAAAATCACAGCCCATTGAATGTTATTGGTTCCGGTTGAATCCATGTTGAATCTTAACTTGATTCTTAGTTCGAAGTACTTTATATCTAATCTAATCACGATCTTCTGTTTCTTAACTATTATATAGATGGGTTCTACGCGATATATCAATTTGTTGTAAGACTTCCTATATCCCCGTATTATATAAACAAACATAATTCTTTGCATTAAACGTTTCATAGGGCAGTAAAGGAGCTGTCTAGCCACACGGTTACTATAATAGCGATTGAAACTGATGAAAATTGTCATTAACGCGAGCACCGTCTTCACGGAGCTTCAGTTTGACGTCTGCGATTCTATACAATGTTTTTCGTACTTCTGTTCACCGGATTTTTGCTACTGTGTACGTAAAATTTTATACGATTGAGTTGGTTCGTTAGACATACTTAATAAATTGTAATTATTTTTATTTTTTTGCTGTCTTTTTCTGTTCGTGTACAGCGAATATATCATGTCGAGATTTAAGTTTTGTGCAAAAACAAACGCAAAGACAACTATTCATCAGTAAGCGCGTGGTAACTGAAGCCGAAGAATTCGACGGAGGAGTGCTAGTGAATAGACGTGGAAAAATTGAAGGTGTATTGAAGCGGTCGGCAGTTGACGCAATTCTGCAAGGAAACGAGGACTTGAAGGTACATAGATAAAAATATAGTTGCGATCAATTTAAAATTAATTACACATAAAATTAGGGATTACATCAATAATAACTTTCTTAAGTAAATAGTTTCGAATATTAAGGTAATAGATGGCGGAGACATGGCACTAATGGCTGGTGCAGTGGACTCTCACGTACACGTGAATGAGCCTGGCCGAACCTCTTGGGAAGGCTTCGTGACAGCCACACAGGCCGCAGCTGCTGGGGGGATCACCACTATTGTTGATATGCCCCTGTAAGTATAATTAAGTAAGATTAAAAAGCGAACTGTTGAATGGACGCAAATATCTATTTATTAATGAAAGTAATGATAAATTCTGTGATTATTAAGACTAACGCATATTCGGTAAATTATCTTACATTTGTAAATAATTACAGCGACCGAGTTAAGAATTCTGTTTTGTTTTGTTATTTCGGCTACTAAGCACAGTTCGATACTTCTGAAAAAAAAAAAACGTTTGTCACTCGCCTTTGCTTCAAAACTTTGTATGTAATTGGCTTTTGCGCCTTTTCGTAACTAAAGTATCGATTTGAAGAGGTTTGAAATGTTATATTATGTCAATAAGCATTTAGTCTTTCACGGACAAATAAAATAATGCATGTGGATGTATCTCTGTTGGGTTTTTAATTTCGTTGTCAAGTCAATTTCACATTTTTTATATAATAATAATAATAATAATACGTGAGGCGCACTATAAATTTCCGGAATGAATAAGAAAAAATACTATAATGATCAGAAATGAATTTATTGTTTCTCAAAATATTCTCCGTTAGCGTTAATGCACTTTTTCATACGAATGAACCAATTTTGAAAACATTTATGCCACTCCTCCGTGACAATCTTTGTAACATATTTTTCATACTCTTCGACAGAGGCTGTCGAAAATCAGATGATGAAAATCGTTGACCGCAGAACTGGTTCAAATTTTTGGAAATAAATAAAGGTCACAAGGTCTGTACGCGGGATGGCTCATAAGGTCAACGTTGTTCACCTTCAAAAATTGATTTGTCTGTCTAGCCGTGGGAGAACTGGCATTATCGTGGTGCAAGATGATATGGCGTTTACGGTTATTTTTACGGAGTTTGTCAATAACTTCCGGCAAACTAAATGGTCATGTACCAATCACTATTCACGGTACAACTATTCTCCAAAGCAACAATAGCCACGTGTCCAGGTTTATTAAAAAAAGAAGCAATCATCCACTTAGAGGCACTTTGCACGCGCTCCACTTTGGTTGCTGGTGTCGGCTCATCTCGAAAGACCCATACGCTCGATTGCTACTTTGTTTTGGGATCGTAACTATAAATGCATGTTTCGTCACCTGCTACAATGTCCAAATTTGACGCCCCTTCGTTGAATCTGGTAAACTTGGCATTGCACCAAGTGACGCGATCCGTTGAGCCTCAGTCAAATTGTGTGGGATCCACCGAGAGCACGGCTTTTTCGCATCCAAATGTCTGTGTAGTATTGATTGTATTTGACTCATGCCTATGCCTAAAGATGCCCGAATCTCATGGTATGTCACATGCCTGTCTGTTTTGATCATGCGGCGCACAGCATCGATGTTTTTCTTGTTCACAGCAGTTGACGGGCGACCACCACGAAATTCGTCACTGAGATTCACACGACCGCGTCTGAATTCTGCAAACCAGCTATAAATAGTCGTCTTGCATGGAGCTTCATCGCCAAAAGCATGACTGCTAAAGCAAGCATAGCTGTTAAATTACACTTAAAGTCGTAGAAAATCATACTACGAAAATTTTCACGAGTTAAATCCACGGTGATGTAGACAACCAATTTCTAGAATGACGCCACAATGTAAAAACAAGTGACAGCCAGAAAATGAAACAAGCTGTATTCTATAGCCAAAGAGTTGCATTTTCAAGTGTTGTAATATTTTTTTAAATATTGTTTATGTAAGTGGCCAGTTCCGGAAACTTATAGTGCGCCCTATGTACACGCCCTACAAACACGGGATAGGTACAGAAGCATACAAACAATCCCTTTTTTGTAGTTTGGCACCAATAATATCTTAATGATATCCTACATAATCTTTTCTATAGTGATATAACAACATACCTATGAAAAGATATTTTATTGTGATACACTTATTACATTTTATTACACTTTGCGTAAATTAAGTTTGCAATGCTTATTTTACTGTAGTTAAATAAAATATATTTCTATTGTTAGAGTTGTATAATGTTTTATTTTTCTAATCTTTGTATTTAATCTTAATCTAATCTAATGTAATATAATCTTAATCTAATCTTTATATATTTTTCTAATATTTCGGTCTTGTACTGGAATACATGTAAAAGTGACTTTGTGTGTATTTTTGCAGAAATTCAGTTCCCCCAACTACGACATTGAAAAATCTGCAAATTAAAGCCACTGCGGCGAGAGAAGAAGTTTACGTCGATGTTGCTTTTTGGGGAGGTGTCGTTCCGGGTAATGAGGCGAGTGCATTTAAAATTCCTAAATATTTATACCATCGTTTACAGAGATTTTTCTCAAAGTAACTGAAAGTTAACGTTACCGAATTCTAATTTCTTTCAGAAAGAGCTACATGATCTCATTAGAGCCGGAGTGGTAGGGTTCAAATGCTATTTGATCGACAGTGGCATAGACGAATTCCCTTACATACAAGCCGATGAACTGGAAAACGTGTTTGCCGTTCTCAATGGCACAGGAACTGTTTTAGCAGTGAGTACCTTTTTTATGTAAAGTAGGAAGCAAAAGAGCAACATCCGTTGAGCTGCCTATGCCTTCTCAGCCTTTGAGAGCCCAGTTAACACACTTTTTGAAGAACCCCATGTCATAGTGCAAAGGAAATACTTCAGGAAGAAGACCATTCCATATCTTGCAGTCTCAGTGGCATATTAAAGACGGTAGAACAAACACAAAGAGTCAACGTCTCTTCGTGGACTAAGGGACTTCAAACCGTTTGTGAGTTTAGGATCATCGAAAATATGAACATCCTTAACGTTGAACGGAGTCACGTCAAGTCAACCTAATGAACTGTATTATTAAAATGTAGGTAGTGTGACGAATAAAATTATATTTAGAGAACTTAGATCGGTTTATGTTTAAAAAATAACATATTATTTGATGAAGTAAGATCTGAAAACGGTAAACAAATCAAGTATTCTGATATCCCTTTCAATGAGTTATTTAAAAATTAAAGTTACGTGTTCGATGTTAGTACAAGAAGAAGCAAAGGCCGACATGCGATTACTATAGTACACGTACTTAGTAGCTTAAAGGTAATTTAAAATTACTACGTTTTACATTTCTGTGTTTCGTTCCAGTTTCACGCTGAGTTAAATGTTACTAAGACCAGTAATCAATGCTACGGCAATTATTGTCCAAGTGAGTACAAATTGCAGACACCAATAATAATAATGAAAATATTGCACAAAGGGAAGCTTCTATAAATATAAATTTAATATGTGATAAATAAAACTAAAACTTAACTGCCATGAGAGACTGGTTTCCATGCAAACCCGTTACAATTATCGATTTTTATGTAAAAGTAACAACGCTAGGAAAAAGTCTTTATGGCGTCTTTGTTGCCTTGAAATTTCTTTACTCTTTTGAAATAATTATCACTTAGGACGATTGAGAATTCTTATGTAAAAATATGTGAAATATTTAGAGAGTCACTACACTTAACGATGCCGAATCGGCTTGAGGCTGTCAGAAAAAGCTTTTTATTAAATAGCTCTATATTACATGATTTCGTTTTCTCCTTCATTTTTGGGGGTTTTTGCCATAATCGCGACGTAAACAACGGGTAACGGGGCACGAATATTCCAGGCCTCTGCTATCCATCCTCATTGCTTGGTGATCTCTACCGCCTTGTACGACACCCGCGAGAATTAGGGGTGGTTCTTAGGGGGACTTCTTTCCGCTTTATTTTCGTGGTGCCACTAATTTCTTTGGGCTGAAATGATGTTGATGACGATAATGGGTGGGATAAAGAATAGTTTTTTCTGACCAGTTTATTGCGATTCATTTTTGAATAAATGTGGTGACTCCCAATAGACATAATATATTATTTTATTTTATTTTACAACAGGAAGAGAGAAGATATAATATTTTTAGTTCGTAAGGATCCTAGGAAGTATGCTCGTGTCAAAGATTTGCTCACTATGAATGAGGAACTAAAGAAAGGCTTTTGATGAAGTCAAATATGTTGAAGATCAACAATAAATCGGTCACCATGTTTCTAAGACTGATAATGAATGACTATGAAAATAAATAGCTAAGAAAGGTTTTTTTAACATACAAATTAGATAGTTTTTAGCAAGTGTAGATACGTACAGAAAATTGCAGTGAAAAACATCTTTAAATTTACTTGTTTTTAGGTCCTGAACTCTACGGCACTTATCTCGCATCACGACCCGATGATTTGGAAACAGCTGCAGCTTCTTTGATTGCTGAATACGTTCCAAAATCAGAGTATGAGAATAAACTTACTGTTTTTTTACAGAAAGTTATAAAAATAAGAAGTTAAAAATATGCTATAATACCTAATACAATTTCGTACGATGTTTTTAGCGTACATGTCCACGTAGTTCACGTATCATCAGCAGCTGTAGTTCCGATTCTTGAAGAAGCGAGAGAAAAGCGAATCCAAGCTGGTAACAAAAGATGGAAGGCAGGAGTCACCGCTGAAACCTGTCATCATTACCTTACTTTCGACTCCGACCAAATTCCACCTGGACATACGGAGTATAAATGCTCCCCACCTATTAGAAATAACACAAATAGAGTATGATTAATTACATTATGACAACTAATTATTTTTCAAGTTCAATAAATTTCAAGATCTTGATTTACCTAACTTCCAGTCACAGTGATCATATTAATCCATATGAATGTTTGACAATTTTGCACCATGTTAGTTAAAGGATTACTAGAAGTAACGAACAACGAAATTCTATGTGTCTCTTTGTATATTATATTTTTCATTCGATGGTTCTTTAAATTACAATAGCCAACGGAAAACTTTACGAATCCTAAATAAGTTAAGATTATTGTCATCAAGTCACAACAGTATCCGCAATGTTTAGAATTTTAAATATAACAAAAGACAGAGCAAGTCCGTGAATTAAGTAAGATGAATGATCGACAATTTTGCACCATGTTAGTTACAGGATTACTAGAAGTAACGAACATCGAAATTCTATGTGTCTCTTTGTATATTTTTCATTTGGTGGTTCTTTAAATTACAATAGCCAACGGATAACTTTACGAATCTTAAATAAGTTAAGATTATTGTCATCAAGTTAAACAATAGCCGCAATGTTTAGAATTTTAAATATAACAAAAGACAGAGCAAGGCCGTGAATTAAATAAGATTATGTTTGCAGGAAAAGTTATGGAGCTATATCGAACACGGAAGACTAGATTTAATTGCGTCAGATCATTCGCCAAGTACTGCTGACCTTAAAGGCCCTAATTTCATGACAGCTTGGGGTGGAGTGTCATCTGTACAATTCGGTAAGTATAAATTAACTTAGCTATCTACCAACGTGTCGTCAAAAAAGGGTAAGACCTTGAGTTGTTTTAAACCAGTGTTTTTAGTCTTGAAGTATCATGTGAATATCACGTTAGCACACTAGCAATAGTAACAACAAAACAGTAGGTTACGGAAAGTATTGTAGGTATGTATATGATGAAGAAAACTATTGTACATTTATCTTGCTACTGATTGCATACTATCTTTTTACATCTACGTGTGCTTTGGATGCTGGTCTTACCATCAAATCCAGTTTCCAAATCCAAATTCACAGTTACCTCAAATTCCTGACGTATACTAGTAAGTAAAGTCCTTCTAGTACAAGAGCTCGTTCAGGGCAGTACTGTCACCGTATCTATTTCTGCCGCTGCTAAAATTACAGGCACATGTTTGTGACGGTGTGACCTGTTTACACCGTCATCCCACCTTTTTGTATCGCCTCGCTCCATTCGTATCGTATCGTTTTACTTCTTCTACTCATATTTAAATATTAAATTTTGAATTGTTCCATTTTCCTTCGCATTCTGATTTTATTTCTTTCAAGCAGCGATAGCGGATACTACTAAATCAAATTGTCAATTTTTTTTATTCTTTTCAAGTTTAATCATAATACAATCAATGTAAATCATATATCGACCATAATAAGCGAATAACAGTCTATCTGTCATTCAACATTATACAACCCGATAAGGGGTACCTAAGTGCCTAAATTTAACACCTACCAATTTTAGGTTTAAGTTTAAGGGAGTGTTTTTTTATTAATGTGCTGTTTTTCTACATTTACCTGTTATTTATTAGTTTTTTTTCTTTACTTTGCCTTTTACTTCAAGTTAAATAAATTTGTGGACCGGAAGTTTTCTGTTTTACTGCCGTGTTCCTGATCACGGTTATTAGGATTACAACCCTTTCAGGTTCCTTGCCATATAAAGTTCTGAGCACTGCGACTATTATGGGTGATGGTCTCGCTTACCATCACGCACGCCTTATTCATCCCATTCCTTGATATCATAAAAAAGCTTTATTGCACTATCATCTAAAACTTATGACGTAACTGAAGTTTTGTAATAAATAAATAAATAACGCACACATTCAACATAGCCCCGCACTAGGGAAACCCTGTGTCGCGGGTGCCATGGACACACACATAGACAACCACAAATTACACCCAAACTCACGAGAGAAAGAAATGTAAGCCATACAAATATTTCTCCCGGCCCGGGAATCGAACCTGGGACCTTTGCGTGGCAGTCCGGTATGGTAACCGTTCGGCCGCGGAGGAGTAATATACGTATATAGAAAGCCAGTGTTTCAATAAACGATTATTGAATGAACTCCCATATTAAAATGTTTGTTCATGCTCAGGTATGTCGATATTCTGGACCGAAGCGAGCGCTCGAGGCTACGGACTAGGCACAGTGAGCCACTACTTATCAGCTGGGCCTGCGCGCCTCTGCGGCCTGCAAGATAAGAAAGGAGCCCTCAAGGTCGGCCTCGATGCCGATCTTGTCTTCTTCGATTCAAGCGCTTCTTTTGTGGTCACGCCTAAAGAGATATTGTACAAAAACAAGGTAACTCTGTTATTGGTTTCATTAACGAATTTATTTAAAAATAACGCTGAATATGAGTAAAAAGAATTGAATGACTGTCCGGATACGATAAAGATATCCCTTAGCCAAATTGTCGTATATACATAAACTTTATAAATTTGAAATATATTTTTTATTAATAATGGTTTAGAGAAATATTATTTTTATTTTTGTTGCAGATAAGCCCGTATATGAATAGAGTTCTAAGAGGCAAAGTGATGCAGACCTACCTTCGAGGCCAGCTGATTTACGAAGATGGAGAAGTACTCAGAAATCCTAAAGGACAATTACTGCTAAACAATGATTATTTTAATTAAATATCTAATACAATAATAATAAATAAATAAATATCACTAAGTACACATACTTTGATGCATATATTACATGCTATTACAATAGAAAATAATAGAAAATAATCTTTATTTTATTATTTATTACTCTTGATGATTTTGTTTTATTTTACGGCTTACAACAAACAAAATTGAGTAAGTAATTTTTTTTTTAATCTATGTAGTTACTATGCACATTGATTTCTTTTAGAAATGTCTGTATATTTTGGATTGGTCTCGATTTTTCACTTAGAGTATTGAGAATAGAGAGAGAGGCTCTCAGTTCAAGAAAATTCTCATGTTAATTCCATAAAGCAAGAAGCAACAACCGTAGAAATATTAGATACCATAAAGAAACGTGGAATAGTGCTAATTCAATGACCAAACCTGTTATAAACATGGTAATGGGCCTAAGAAGTATATAGAATACATGGAATAATGTTACTTTTTTTCATTATTGGCATTTCACGCATCATCTCTTATTAGCGTTAATTATAAGTTTAATTTAATTTAGAGTTTTATTTCGTCAAACCCAATTTTAAAATTTCGAGCTACTTTTGAGTTTTCATGTACCTTTATATATAAGCTATTTACACAACAAGTGCTGGGTAATTTTCAGAAAAAATTCAAATAATGGAAATCTTTCAAAATACTTTTCTGGAAAATTGGAAAAAATATAATGAACAAGACTATGAATATGTTTACGTTTACACATACTTTTAGCATGGGTTATAAAATAAATAACTAAACGCAAATTAGAGTAAAACGAGGTTTCAAAAGATTGGATTAAATTAATCTTCGCTGTTGCTCTTGAATTTATTGTGTCATTTTCGTAAACAAACCCATTGCAATGATTGGTATTTGTGTCTATAAATAGCGCGAAAAGTTAAATATTTGGATCATGTGCATCTCATGATGATGATAAAAGCCACTGGTACTGGAAAGTTGATCGTATAAAAAAGTAATGGCTGCGGAAAATACAAGAGTGAAACAATTTAGTCTTATCAACATTGACTTACAAAAAGTCAATGCTTATCAAAGATACTTGCCCTCACTAGTTGGAGAGGCACTTTAAAAAGAAGTATTTCGGAGCCCACTAATTACAGATCTATTTCAAAATTACCGACTTCTAGTAAAATAGTTTTGGTTGTCGACACTCTCGAATCGGCTGGTGCTCTGTGATTGGCCAGTGATGCTGTCCTCCGCAAACGTTCCTTCGAAATATCAGGCTTGCTAGATTACAAACTCACGCGACGCAAAGAAATCCATTGCAAAGCAAGCGGCTGGTGCAAACGAGCGACTCGTAAACAGTCCTGCCTGCGCGTACGCGACAGGTCCTTCCTTGCGTATGCGCGAAGCGCGTCACGCAAGCAAACGAAAAATGATGTGAAAAAAGACTCGTGAACTCGGCATAAGGCTTTTGGTTGTCTAAACCATGATACTTTGGTCAAGGAACTTCGCCGTTATGTAGTGGTGAACCGTGGTATGACCTTTTTATATCTTTCTTCAATATTCGAGTGATTGTGTCCAAAAAGCCGGTGTAAACGTTACAAGGTCGTCAGGGTCTACAACTGGAATGGGTGTCCCTCAAGGTAGCATTCAAGATCCATTTTTATTTTTGTTTATTTATAGGACTTTCCTTGCTTCATGAAAGGTATAGAATAAAAGACATTTATTATCAAGAGAATTTTATTGTTCGTTGATAATATTTTCCTATTATTTGAAATTTGAACTAAACGACACCAATATTCGTATGACGAATGTGAGCAATAAATATTTTAAAGGTAGACTGGTTTGTGGTTAAAAATTGCTTCATAATAAGAAAGACAAACAAATTGTGTAAAATTTACATTAGGTACCTAATGTTAGACAATCGGACATAAAAATCATAATTAGTTGTAGATACAGTTTTTTTACAGCTTCTGCGTATTTGAACGACAAGAATCCATGGTAATGGTCCGCTTTGTTCTTTCGGTGGAATCTGCCTTACGAACGAATATATGAGGGGCGTTCAATGTATTCTCGGTATCGGGGTGATTTAGTAATGATGAAGGTAAATTATCTCATTAGCTAATAAACAACACTCTCTGAGGGCATAAATGCAAAATTTCGTTTAATTCAAATTTTATATTTAAAATGCTAATAATCTTCATTTTCAATTATTTTTTCGCATTTTCGTGAAGAAAAATAAATAAAACAAGCTGAGTCTTGATTGTCACGTTGTGAATTCGGATCACAGAATACTAACTCACATTCGGATTTATAGTCTAGTGTTAACTGTTAGTGTCGCTAAGGAGCATATAGATGTCGCTGTCATATTTTTACGAAATAAATATCGCGTATTTTTATTTAACGATAAATTATTTCCGATGTAGGTACTATTAAACAAAAAATAAACAAAATATTGAAGAGATGTATGCACACAAATAAGTTCAACTGACTTTTAATCCTTACAAATCAACATTTGGACAATAAATTCGAAAATAATAATGTTTCCACTGCGTGGGAGTAACTATTTTAAGATTGCTTTTGACATAAGAACAAAATTACTTTAACGTTAAATTCGCGGCATAGTACGAACTGAGTGAATGAATAGTCACAAAAGCTGCCAATAAAACATCATAGTTTTAACATTATAATAAGCTTACTTTAAGCATGTCATGGTACGAAAAGTCAATGTAAGGTTAAAGTAATATTGTTTTAAGAGGTTGTGGTAGGCTTCTTCCTTCATTATCTACTACTCAAAAGCAGTCAAGTGAATTTAAATGGGGTAGAGAAAGCATTGAAGATGACTCTCGTGCCGGCGGCGGGCCGGGAGAGTTAGTGAAAAACTTGTACTTGAAGATTGAGATCATATGAAAGGCAAAATTTTAACAGAAACAACTAAGCTATCCGTGAGTACCATTTATATTATCCTTCATGACCATTCCAACCAGAAACAAGTGCGAGTCGAATGCTGTAGAGATTTTTTGGAGCTCTGTGGTGAAAATTCACCGAGTATTTTGGACCGGGTCGCTACCGGAGATGAAACATGCGTTCATCACTATGATCCTGAGAGCAAGCAGGAGTCCATGCAGTGGCATAAAAAAGAAACAGAGCTACTAAAGAAGTTTAAAGTCACTCCATCGGCCGAAAAACTCATGACCACAAAAAACGATATTTTAGGTCACATGAATGAGATTGCAGTAACTCGAATGATTTTTTCATAAACATAAATTAGAAAGACGGCACAGTAATGAGAATTATTATTACAAAACACATTTTATCGTTCACAAAAGAACATTTAACATGTAACAAAAATTTTAATATAACTTCTTGTATCAAAATGCTTCATCCGTGTAAGACCATCATCTATCTATATGTAATTAATAAAGAAATCTAAATAAGTATTTTGTTAATGTCATATAAACTTTGTCGTACAGCAATATATCATCATCAACATCATCATCATGATCACCGTCATCATCACTACAATCATCATCGTCATCATCACCAACATCATCATCGTCACCACCGTCATCACCACCACTATCACCATCTAATTGTTATATTTCATGTAAATGTTTGGCTTAAAGTAACTATTTGACTTAAAAGTAGACAAGAATGAGAGCGATAATAATATTTGGATAAATTCTTAATTGTCAAGTATGTCAAATATGCTGGACCGTTATAAAAGTGCATGGATTTTAAAGTTCCCTTTGTCTAATTGATGTACAATAAAGTTTATAAAACTATTGCTTAATACTTATTTAGATAGATTGCTTTGCTCATGCAAAACAACGATTTAGTCACTAGCGCTGAAATTAGTATTTAAGTCGATTTTTTGCTAATACGGAGATGCACAGGTTACTTGACTGTGTACACTCCAATCCGACAGGAGCCCCTTCTCACGTGTGCGAAGGGTGAAGATGATGCGGTATGAACTTTTGTTATTAGGAGGCTTTTAGTTGAATTGATACTAATGATAAGAAAATTGAAACACATTTTGTATTCCCAAGAAAACATGTTTGTTTATAATAAATTGGAAAGTTACGGTATGTATTCGACGTGTAAGTTATTAGAGTTTATCCTCGACGGGAAATATTGCGATTTCCTCGAGTGTTTAATTTTTTTCTTATTTTCTTAAAATTAGGGCGACATGGAACCGACTTCCATGAATGAGAAATTGCCCACTTTTTTAATTTTTATTTATTACTGTGACGTAGTAAAGTAGTATTTTTATGTGCAACACAGACTAAGTAAGCAAGCAATCAAATTAAATAAGTAATGCTTAGCATTCATGCAATAACATAAAGGTCAAGTCAAGGTCAAGGAAAGGGACACATTTTTGGATGTTATCTGAAAACGACCCCGCTACACTTGAGATTCAAACGATTACATCGATGCAATCGCTCGTTTGTATCGATGCAGTCGTGTGTTTGCATCGATGCAATCGCTCGTTTGTATATCGCTGCAGTCGCTCGTTTGCATCGATGCAATCGCCTATAAATCGCAAATGTAGCATGCAAAGTCGCCTTAATTTTTTCTGTTAGGATTTTTGGCTTGGATACAAGTCCTTTGAGCCAGATTTTCATTTAGTTTTCGGGATCCTAATAAAATATTTTCTACTTTATAAAAATAACAATGATTCATGTTTTCATTTTCACATAATTAATTTATTTTATTTGCTAATAAAAGACGTTGAATTTTGAACATGGTTTAGTAAGTGTTTCTTTTTGTATGCTTCCAATTATCATTGGCCTTTTATGTTTTGTTCCTTCTTCCAGAAACTTTTCCATAATGTTTTTTTGTTTATATCATTACTTCTATCCAGTATAGTAGTATAGCAATCGGTAAATTGTACAATTTGTGTTCAAGATTCAACGTCTTTTATTAGTAAACAAAATAAGTGATTTATGTGAAAATAAAAACATGAATAATTTTTATTTTTACGTATGTACAACGCGCTCAACATAATCTTAATTGAAAATTTTAAATTTAAAAACTTTTAGCGTCCTTGTGGTCCTTTTCCACTTCAAATTCCCGCCAGTTATTTTTTTCTGGTGTGATTTATATACCTGCATATTGGTAGTGCTGCGTATCCAACCGACTAACTGTCGTCGTTCAACTTTGAAATCTCTTTATCATTTATTTTGTCTGACTAATTATTATTAACAGTTTAAATACATTTGTTAATATTAATAATAATAATGCTATAGTTTGTTTTTAACATTTATACTTAAAAATCTAAAGTAAGTTAAATTATGAAATGTAATTGTGACATTTACTTTTAAAACCAATTCATAACCTAAAAATATAGCTAATAAGTGGTTTGTAACACATAAATTTTAGGTTTCCTTTTAATTTGGAAATGTTCAGATGCCCAGTGTCATTAGCAGTGTTGAGAGAACGCGGCCAGTGGAAGGCAGCACAATGCAACTAGAATGTTTGGAATTTGCTGGATGCAATTTGGACCGGTACATTAGTGAAGATAACTCGCTCCCTTCGTTTTTGGAGGTAATTAGGACGATGCAAGTCGCCCTTGCTCTTCTTATTCGCAGTATGTGGCCCAGATATCGTTCTTGTCTAGTGTTGTATTTTTGCATTTACATTCTACATAATTTATTTTCACAATACGATTCTTTTACACAATTGAATAAATGTTGTAGGTAACTGGCATAGCGACGCAACGAAGTCCAACATGCAGCGGCCTCAACGCAGGGGACTACAGCAACTTGGCTGTATTGCTAGGTCACCCAAACTTGTCCCAGCTAAAAGTCATCAACAAAGTTCCACTACCACCTGAAATTATGGAACACTTTGCTCGTATCCTTTTTTCTATAAGCAGTTCACTTACAGCAATCTTTTGTTGTGGTTAAAGTGTTAATGTGTTTTTACATCAACAAATACTGGCTTGCACGATGTCATAGATGAAATTCTCAGTGCTCGAGATTTGACCAGTGGTAAAGCTCTGGTACTTTGGACTTTTGCAGAGCCTTCAGTTCCATTAATATTCCTCTGGTTATTTCAAAACTAAAATACTGCAGTTGTGATTTTCACACAAGTCAAATTGTCTAAACCTGATGGCACTTTCCCAATGTCAGATCAAAGTGCTATTAACAGTGGTGTGCCACAAGGCTCTATACTGGGACCGTTTGTGGTTTGCTCTGATATCACTTGGCTGCATCAAATGATTTATTGGCAGGTAAATATCAAGGCAAATATCGCCTTTATGCCGACTACTTGCAGTTATATTTGTCTTTTTAGTCTGACGAAAGCATTGAAAATACAAATTTTGCCTGTTCTTCATTGACCTACCAACGAATGGATGTCAGGTCTAATAAAATCCATGAAAAAAAGTCCAAAGTTAAGCTATACAAATGTAGTGACATGTTACGAAATATAAAAAACTAAAACATTTCATTTAAATTGTAATGTCATTGCAGTACTGCCAAATTTTGCATGCAACAATTTAGGGGCCTATAAACACCATATTCAGCTTCTACTGGAAACTTAATAAAATGCCCCATATTTAGCTTCACCTGAAAATTACTTGGACACAAGAGTAGTGGAGTAACCTTTATCGTGAATATCAATTAATTTTTATATATATTATTATGTCAAATTTTGTACAAATTCACTTAAAGATATAATAAAGAGTTGGGCAGATAAGTACACACAAATATTACTACAAATGTGAAAATAAGCATGTACAATAAGAAATGTGTCAATATTCCACCTAAACGTAATTCCGAAAACCGATTTAAAATCAAAATTAGCTTTTGTTTTGTAATCTTCCTAAAAAAATACATTTCACATTATGCAAATTTTGAGCTAAAGTTACTTCGGGCAAAAGTATTTTCTGACTTCTGATAGGCAATCCCAAGCCGTAAAACGAATACAACAATATTTTGCTAGTTATTGCTACCATTTAATAAAAAAATCATTTTATAAATAACTTTAAACTCAAAGCGACTCTATAGTTTCTTTGTTCTAAATATTTCAATCGCTTGTGGTTCGAACAATAATTGAAAATAACCAACAAGTTTATATAAGCTTCTTGAAACTGACTTAATGGGTCTCTATCCATCTTCAGTGCATGCAATGTGTAGAAAAAGGACAGTTAGCTATTTGATTATTTTGTGTCCTTTTGTAATTTTGTATTTACGATTCAATTATATTTATAAATTAAATACTAAAAAACTGTACAAAGTAACACTTAAATGAGAACTATGATAACACAATATATTTGTTTTGTGAAAATATGATACAAAATCCTGTTTTTACACTTTACTGTAGTAATTTTTACAAGTTATTATTATTATTGGTACTGCATGTCAGTCGAACTAATGAAGACTGTTACGCGATCGACGCTCTGTGTGCGATTTTAACGCCCTGTAGGTGTGGACACTTTTTAGCGCGAATCCGACGTCCATTTATTGGTAGGTCAATGCTGTTCTTTCTGTTCAAAGTACTAGGTTTTCTTTATGATGCTAAGAAGAGAAGTTCTAAGTTACAACAGCTTTAAATCACAAAGATCTGAGGGGCAGTGCCACTGCGAACATCACCCTGAGACATGTTGACAAGTCTCATGTGCCCGTAATTTCACCAGAGTCCTTACTCTTCAAAACCAGAATGCAGTAATTAATACTCAGTAATGTGGCAGTACTTCCCTACACAAACTCTTTCACAAGGAGCTCTACTGCTACTACCTTGCCTGTGTAAGGTTCCTAAATAGTGTAGCATTTTAACCTTCACATGTCAATTGTTTTCTTAAAATTGTAACAGATATGCAATGTCACTGTTTAATGGGGGTGTTTCCAGAAATAAGTAGGGTGTGGCTTGCAATAGATAGCAATATCTATGTCTGGGCATTCGAACATGGCAGTGATGTCGCCTACTTTGATGGTCTAGGAGAGACTATAGTTAGTGTTGGCTTGGTGAAACCGAAGCCAGGTGTTTTTCAGAGCTTTGTTAGGTACCTGCTGGTATTAACCACAACTGTGGAAATAGTAGTCTTAGGTGAGTAGTAGTTTGAATTCGTTAATTTTGTTTTTTAATTTTTACAATTAAAGGAATAAATAAAATTTGTTTTGTTGTATTCTTATGAATAGACCAGTCATCAAAGTATGAAGTTAATTATGTCTGTACCATGCCTCTTTAATATTCTATTATGATTAAATAAGTTTGTAATAAGGTAAGCCCTGTCCTTGGCACTTTATAGGAGTAACATTTTCGAGCAGTAAAACTGATAGGGGAGAGTTGGAAGAGATCCACCTAGTGCCAGAGCCAGTGTTTGTCTTACCTACTGACGGAGTATCAATGATGTCTGTTAAGTCTACAGCACAAGGACGGATATTCTTGGGCGGCAAGGATGGATGTCTTTATGAAATTACATATCAGGTAAGGTGAACTTTGAACAATATTTTACTAAAACTTTTTTTCGCAACACAGGTTGCCTATGAAGTTTTTGTTACTTGTGTACATTATAACTTAGTTATAAATTTAATTTACAGCTACTCGTTACGCTTTATTTCAGGCACAATTGGGATGGTTTGGAAAACATTGTAAAAAAGTAAATCATTCAACCAGTGCATTATCATTTCTAGTCCCTTCATTCCTTAATGCCGCCTTGTATGATGAAGATGCCATAGTAAAAATAGAGGTGGACAACTCTAGGAATATTTTGTACACATTGAGTGAGAAAGGGTGTATAGAAGTGTTTGATTTAGGTAACAACGGTGATAGTATACGAAAGATTGTGAGACTTACACAGGGAAATATTGTTTCTTCAGCTGTGGACATTGTTAAGTAAGTAGTACTTACTCATTATGTATGTCAATTTATATTTGCGTAATAATGAAATATAAGTAGGCAAGCCATGTTTGCTATGGGATACTATTTTCATGTACAAAAACAGAATATTGTTTTTCTACATGAAAATAGGTTCAAATATAATTATGTGCTTTAGTATCATTTAAGTAATAATGTAGAAAAATTATTTAATGTGGGTTACACTACCATTATGCTGATAGCCTCAATTATGAGTTAGTACATTCGAGATTTTTTTTTTAATTGGCACACAAATATTATAATGATTATTTTTAAGTATGTATGTATGTTATATTTATTATGCTTACAAATAATCTTGTTATGTTGCAGAACCTTAGAAGCATATAATTTCAAACCAGTTGTAGCAATATCTGCAGTTGATGAATCAGAATCTGAACATTTAAACCTTGTAGCTGTGACACAGACTGGTGCCAGACTGTATTTCAGCACTGGAAGTGGGGAGTAAGTAACATTTCTTATTCCATATGTGGGAGCAAACAAAGCAAGCCACAATTAGTTTTTAGTTTAACCTAGATATTATATTAGATATAGATATCATATTAGATGCTCTCATGATGAACAGAAATAATTGTATTAGAATGTAAATGCAGCACTACTTTATTTGCTATCGGATTTTGTGATGCTGTTTGTCCTTTATTAAAATGTTCGTTTCAGCTTTGTGGGGAGGTTTATGAAATACCAAACTATTGTTAGTTATGTTTAATAAATAAACGCTTTTAAGCTTTGAACGTACATAAGCTCACGCCCTTGTCCCACATAAGGAGTAGGCGGAGACCACGGAACGCCGCCTTGCTATATCCTGAAAGGTTTTTCAAAACATTTACTTAGTTTATTATGCCACCTTTTCAGTGCGAACCCAGGTGCGTTACAGCGGCCGCAGTACCTCACGTTATTGCACGTGCGGCTGCCCCCTGGCTTCACATCCAATGCGTCAGTGCTGAAGCCAAAGCAGGTGCACAGTGCTGTCTATGAAAATGGTATGTTTTACTTAGAATTTCAGGGATTGCGATAGCATAACTTCGAAAGACGCTTTTCCACAAAGTGGTGACATTGAGGTCCGTTGTTATCTGCCTATGAAATTATAATAGAAATAGCATGGTATTTTTTTTCTGCTAGATTCGCTGCTAATGGTGTGCTCTGGAAGCGGTGGAGAAGCAGAGACTCTCTGGTGCCTGTCACGCGTGATGCCCGGCCCAGGATTTAGCGAAGCGCACACATTACTTACGTTAGACGGGCCAGCGTGGGCGCTTACCTCGTTACCACAGAACCACAGCTCTCGGTTATCTTCACTTCTACTATATAAAAGAGGTCAGTTACTTTAAATTTAAAGTCGGTACTGTATTACGAGGAACACTGCCATTTATGATGCTGTTGATTGCAGGTATCTAATTTAATCGATTTCAAGTGTTCCATTGTTCATATTATGATACTGTCATCGAGTATATAACCAGAAATAGAGACAAAATGTCATTTGTTTGAAAACTATTCTTCCATATCATTACCGGGACAACTGCGCTCCGATTGGCCAGCCCGAAATCGAAACAATTCACGGGTATCGTCAATTGTTTGACTTCAAATCGACCTGTTTGATTTGAGCTTTGCTATAATTGAAAAATTACATATTTAATTACCAATGAAATGTCATTCTGTTTGTTTTGTAATTAGATGTTTTGCTATTTTTCCCACACCACCAAATGGAACAGCCCCCCATATTCAGATATTATTTTTATTACAATAAATACAGAATATTTTTGGAATATACGGAGACGTACACACAGATCAGTTGGCGCAGTAATATATCAGCTTTCTAATTTGTGATTTCAGTGCAAACGAGAGTTGATACTTAAAAATGATATAAGGTCCCTTTGCCAGGGTTGGATGGTCCGTATTTCGTCTCTATTTCTCGTTATATACCGTTGACGCCGGCAAAAATCATTTGACTTCACAGTGGCTAAGTCGCTACAAATCGCACACACTCAACATAGCCCCGCACTAGGGAAACCCTGTATCGCGGGTGCCATGGACACACACATAGACAACCACAAATTACACCCAAACTCACGAGAGAAATAAATGTACGCCATACAAATATTTCTCCCGGACCGGGATCGAGCCTGGGACCTCTGCGTGGTAGTCGTTGTGGTAGTCATGGTAACCGTTCGGCCACGGAGGCAGTTATGGTCGAAGTTCGACTTGTAATATTTTAGGATGTTTTCATGTTCACACAACTTAATACAGTAATTTTTTTGCATTACTTATTGTTATTATTACAACTCTGGTCACTTAGGTCGAAAACCACACGGCTGTTACGATATCATAACTTAGTAACAATCAAACAATCAATAATAATTATTGTTATTGTCCTTGTATCAATAATAATAACATACTAGTGGACTATTTTCACATAAAACAGATGAATATCATGGTAGTAAAAATATGCTAATAAATATGGAATATATTTTTAAATTCCAGTTTTTAATAAATGAATAAATAATACCAACTTTTATATTTTTGGAAAAAAGTGAAAGAGAACATAAAACAGTCAGTCTGCGTGCGTTAGAAAAAGATAGATCAGATAGATGATGGTGATGTCATCATCAACGCATTATATGTCCCACTGCGGAGCACGGGTCTCTTCTAATGCTTCGCCTTTAGTCTGCCACGGATTATTAATTCGAAGGCGTTCTAGGATAGTGGCCTATTTCGAAGCACCGAATTCATCAGAAAGATGTTTAAAATAAATTGAGACGTGTCTGGCACGCAAAGTTGACGAATCAAAGACAATCACCATGTTGTCATTCACTATAAAATTAAATATTTTGTCACAGAAATCTAACTGCCTCTGTTTATGAACTTCTGTGGTCAGTGCATTAAATAAGTCTCAGTAATAATTAAAAAAGGAACTATTTTGGATTGGTCCACCATTCTTGAAAAGCAGCGAACTGTATTTTGTACAACAAATTTCAAATGTTTTAACATTATATTGATTTGCAATTTAATTTAGCTATGCTTTACGAAGTTGCAAAATTCTACCATTGTTCGTTTTTAATGGTAGGTACGTAGGTACTGATAACTATGAATAACTCATGACGGTTCAACTTCTGAACAACAGCGTTGCCTGCTACTTAGGCTTAAAATATTAGCTTGTTTGCAATAATGTATTTCCAGTCCTAGGCACTACACTAGCAACCCTATTTACACAAGTAACTATTCTCCAATAAACAGGAGTGTGGTCGGTGTCGCGGTGGGCGGTGGTGACGGGGGCAGGAGCTGCTATATTGGAAGCCGGAGCGGCACCTGATCTTTTGCGCACTCTATTACGTGACTGCAGAGGACCTGACGCGCAGTCCGTTAAAGATTTTTTCCAGGTAGTATCAGAAGTAAAATACTGTTAAATTGATTCCTGTTGTTCAACAAGCATGATCTTCTGAGAATATTACACCTTCAAAGTTTTATTGAGAACAATAAAAGGTACATAAACTGTCTTAATTGTTCTTATGTAGTATCGTTTTATTCCCCCCTTGCAGTTACACAACTTGGACCAAGCATGCGCGTGCGCCTTATACCTAGCATGCGAAGACACGAACTCCGGCGACCTGTCGATTAGTGAGTGGGCTACTCGTGCCTTCTATCTTTACGGCAGTCAAGCCCAGAATACAGCCCAGCAAAATTACTCACAGAATCCGACCGCACAAGTGGCATCTACCATAAGTATGTGTTTCATTATTTTTATATTGAGGCTATAATATGGTTTGGACGGATATCTGCAATAGCAATATATAAATATAGGAAATTAAACTATTTTTTCAGATCTAAATCGTGTTTCTTTGTTTTTTTTCAAACAAAACAAAGTTTCCTGCCCAGTAAAAGGTCCCAAGGCCACGGCTAACTGCCTAAATAACAAATACGCGATTTAAATCCGAAAATCATTTCCTAAGGGTCATCGCGAAAAACTAAGAACTCAAAATATATAAATAGTTTGGCAAGGTATTCTGTGCTAACTTGTTATAAATTGTCACATAACTTATGCTTGCAAAGTGGCAAACCCAAAATTTATTTAGATCACTGAGTCACATTAACCTTCCACACACATATACAATATCTGTAACTCGTTAAGGTCCTTGTAATTAATAGCTGTAATAGCAATAATAATATAATGTACATGTAAAATTATTAATGTATTTTAATATAAGATATATTTTCCTTGCGCAGAGAAAGTGAACGATTATTTTGTTTTTTATTTTATTTAATAGCTACCAACTTAATTAGAAATTATTTTTATTTTTCAGATTCTCCTAAATTCTCACCGCGTCAAATGTCAACGCCAATGATTATGAGAGGACCACAGGGCCAAATCCAGCCAAGCAAACAGAACCAATCTTACCAACAGGGGCCAATGAACCAGTCCTACCCTGGTTCACCGAGCCTGTCCATGTCTAGTCCGTTTCAGCAACCTATGACTAGCCCTGCTCCTTTCAACCAGTCTTCTTTTATGGGGAATGTAACGCACCAACAAAGAGATCTAAACTTTTCGGCTCAATTAGAATATAGCCCAAAACATAATGGTCTTTATATCTATGTGGGACGAATACTAGCACCCATATGGAATTTAAGATGTGTGGCTACATCAATGACACCAGATAAGAAGGAATTCGTAAGTGCACTTATTTATCAGTTTTGTTTTGAAATGCAGTGTTTGCTAGCTTGTATGTATTTTCAATAGTATATTAATACTCTAATCCGAAACATTCACACGAAAGGTGTTTTAGATTAGCTTTAAAAAGTAGTAAGCATTTTAGACTTGTACAGAATCAGTAACACAGCGCACAGCATAGACAGTCGGTACTGACTGCGTACAATCCTTTATGTGACACATTGTACAATGCAGTGTCCTTGGTGTTATATGAAGTGCTAGAGTTTTCAATATTTTTTTTATAATACCAAGTCACGGGACGAACAAGTCGTGCGCCTGGTGGTATGCGACACGCCTATCCATAACAGTTGCAGTGCCACTTAGTGCTTTAAATCGCAAATATCTCAGGGGCACTGCGACTGCGCCCGTCACCCTGAGACATAAGTTGACAAGTCCCATATGCCTGTAATTTCACCAGCACTTCTTACCCTTGGCGGCAGAAATAGGTAAGGTGGTAGTACGTTCCTGAACGAACTCTTTCACAAGGCGCTCTATTGCTACTTAAATAAATATTTTAGACGTTATGCACCTACGATAAAAAGTAAGTACTTAAATAATTTAAAAATGAATACTTCAGATGGTGAGCCGTGTGACGGGCGAAGACTGTGCGTACATAGTGCAGCGATTGCAGCGTGTAGCAGCGTTTACACAGCGCATCGGTGCGCCTCCACATACTGACGAACATGCTTCTCTACAAGCATTGAAACTTTTCATAAGTATGATTGTTTTTTTATGAAATTCTGTACTAGTTTAAATACTGCCAGGAACAGCGATTTGTGTGCGTCTCCTTTGCAAAGATTAATGAAAATTGGGACACCAGGATTGTAAGCTACTGGCTACAGTCATTAATATATTGTACTGTAGTGTATGTATACTATAATGTACTATAGCCAAGCTTGAGGGAAACAAACGTGTGTGTTATCATTGGTGTGTAATCGACGATACAAACGGTAGTACATTGTACTGAGCCCGATATAGGGAGGCCCTTTGTGACTCAATAATCCTGTGTGTAAGGGCGCTCCCTCATCGAGAACATTCGCCTGTGATGTAACATTCAAGATTCGTTTGCGAGAATTACATTACTAACTACCTCCCTCACCGTCGAACGTTCGTCTGCGAACATTCGTTTTTGAGTATTACATTACAAACTACCTCCTTCACCGGCGAGCATTCGCCTGTAATGTAACATGCAAGATTCGATTAGGCTGCGATTCCACCAGAGATGTGCGAGGTAGCGAGCCCGCGAGTGCCCGCGAGAGACCACGAGTGCCCCTAAGAGCCCGCGTGTGCCTTTGAGTGCCCGCGAGAGCCAGGTGCGCCCGCGAGAGCCAGGAGTACCCGCGATTGCTTTTGAATGCCAGCGCGTGCCTTTGAATGCCCTTGAGTGCGTTTGAGTGTCTTGAGTGCCTTTGAGTACATTTTATTGCCCGCGAGTGGCTTTGAGTACCTTTCAGTGCCTTTGAATACGTTTTAGTGCCTTTGAGCGTCTTGAGTGCCTTTTAGTGCACGCGAGTAGCTTTGAGTTACTGGGTGCGTTTGAGTGCCTTTGAGTGTCTTGAGTGCCTTTTAGTATCCGCGAGTGTCTTTGAGTCATTTTGAGAGCCTTTGTGTGTCTTGAGTGCGTTTGAATGCCTTTGAGTGACTTTGAGTGCATTTTAGTTCCTTTGAGTGCATTGACTCAAAGGCACTCAAAAGAACTTAAGGCACTGACAGGACCTCAAAGGCACCAAATGGCACTAGCAGGCACTCAAATTCGCTCAAGGGCACTAAAATCACTGAAAGGCACTCGATGGCACTCGCGGGCACTAAAAGGCACTCAAAGGAACTCACGGTCACTCAAAGGCACTCAGAGTCGTATTCCAGAACTCTACTCAATGCTCAAGTCAGGATTTGAGTATGATTTAAAGCACTAGAAATTATACTCAAGTCTTTGCGTTTAGGGTCGTATTTCCAGTGCTTGAAATCATATTCAAATCCTGACTTGAGCAATGAGTAGAGTTCTGGGATACGACCCTCAAAGGCTGTTAAACCTTGGTACGAGGAAATGAAAACGCAGCTGTGGCTTGTGTGTTGATCGTGTTGAGATGATGGATAAGAGAGAGCACTGGATTTACAATTTTGCTTATGTACTACAACCAGGCGCCCTCTGGCGCCTTGGATCTACATTATTATAGATTATTTGACTAGCGCCATCTAGCGCGCGGCCACAGAACTGGGTGGTTGTCTAGTTTACTAGGCAACTGACGTAGGACACCGCGACACAGTGCAGAGGCTCGCTAGGTGTCGCTGCTAACAAAGGCACTCGCGGGCACTAAAAGGCACTCGTTTGCACTCAAAGGCCCTCACAGGCACCTAAGTAAACACTTTAAAACATTTCCACTACACCTGGTGGAGTCGCAAAATCTGAACAGATTGTTACATTACAGGCGAATGCTCCCGGTGAAGGAGGCTACAGAATGTTACAAGTGTTGCGCAGCGGATGCTCGGCTCACCTCCCTTACCGCCTGTAACGCTTGCTTTTGAACGTTACATTACAAGAGCGTGTTCGCGGTGAAGGAGCGCCCTAACAGATATTTCAATGTGTCTTGAATCCAAGGATAGTAAACATTGTTATGTAATTAAGGTTGAAAACTGATGTAACAGAGCCTGTAATATTTCTTTCGCTTGACGTCAGTAGCATTTTTTTTTATTAAACAGCACAACTGGTTGATTCTTTGGGAGACAATACTAATAAGCCGACTCTTGTATCGTATATTTTAATAATAATAGTACTTTGTAAGTGGCAAAGTGGGTAAGGTGGCGGTGTTTGTAAATAAATAAATAAATAAATATTATTTCTTTGTGAGGAAGAATACGCAATCCCTTTAAAAAAGGAGTTTGTCTAAGATAAGCAATAACAAACCTAACATTTCAGCATTGGCCATCGAAATGTTAAGTCTCTGGAAAGTGCTGTCGGAGCACCAGTTCCACGTCGTTGCCGCCAGTTTACCACCAGAGCAGCAGAATGCGTTACAAGCCGCTAGTTTCAGGTATAAAACTACCACTGCAACAGTCCATTATAATTGGTTGTATAATAAGTGTATATTATAAGAAAAGTGCTTTTGTGCGATTTTAGAGAGGTCGTTCATCTGGTAATAGTTATGTTGAACACTATAAAGATTTACAAATCTGCAGAGAGTTGCTGGTTGGGGGACAAGAAGTGGCATGCTTACTCCTTGGATCATTAGTTGCTGGTTATCTTCGCGACAACGCCTCTGTCGACGGTATTTCACAGAAATTAAGACAATTATGTCCCACACTGTATAGGCAAGAAGATGCAACGTGTTCCAAAGTAAGGGTTTGGTATTGTATTTACTTTTACGTTATGTTTATATAAATGGAAAGAATATAAAGTTATTGTATTTACTTTATAGGCTAACGAATTACTTATGTTCGCAAGACAACAGAAAAATCCGACCGAACGAGAGGAAATGCTTCAACATGCGTTGAAACTATGCGTGGTAAGAAAACCAAACTGTTATTGTCTTTAAAATACACTCTAATAATTTATTTTGTAACCTACTATAAAAAAAGAGGAGGCTCAATTCGATTGCTTTTTTGTGACTAATCGCATATAAATGCGATTACTCAAGACTTTTGTGGTCACGTTCAAATTTGAATAAAATATTCCATCTCTAAGGGTGGCAAATTAGGGGATGAATCCGGTTTATTGGATTTCACCGTTTCCGTTAATCGATTGCAATAATAATACTTGCTAAGAAAACTATTGAGGTCGGTTTTTTTCAATTAACTGTTTTTGTAGATTTAGAAAAATGGATGTTTTCTCGGCGACGATCGCAGAGCGTGAAAGGCCTTTCAAACCTTTCAAAAGGAACCCTTGTAGTAACAAAACTAAAATAATAATATAACAGTAACATAATGTACAAGGAACACATACACAGTATTCGTTTATTTTAAGTTCTTTTATTTCGCGACACACACGTCCATCACTCATCTTCGCTCAGTGCTCACTGAAAACCAGCGCCACAGTCAATTATGCTGTGGCTTATGTGTATTATGCTGCTGCTATTCTGTGGATTATGCTGAAAAAAGTCCTCTTGCGTACGCCACAACCGCACAAATGACAGTACAAAATTTGTAGTCGTTATACAGTGAGTTGATTTGCATTCTCGCCATATTTAAAAAAATAATAATAGAAATAATGCTAAATCATCTAAAAATATTAAAAAATATATTCTGTTTAATATTTGTATCTTGTAAAGTTTTGCAAAATCGTCCATAAATCGTATGCACCGCGCGAGGGCAGTGACCTCGCCACCCGCTTCACCGAGCGATACGTAATCTTTCTCGGTCGCTTGTTTACCAATTTTTTAAATTATGATTATGTATTAGTATTGTTATAATTATCTATTAATTAAATAAAATCTATTATTAAATA